GTCTGTGGCTTTATATTAGAACTAGAATTAACAAATTTTTTGATTTGACTGTTATTAACAGTCGAATCTAAAATATGCAGTTCTTATTATTATATAGAAGTAAGGGTTGCTTGACTTAATTGTACTGTTTCAGTTTAAAATTCTACTTCTGTTTGATGCAATGGGAGAAGTTAAAGTTGACCCGAGCAGTGATTCCATACCGAATCGTTCTGAGGCAGATACAAGATGATTGACATTTGACAAGGAAGTCTATCACTATAGCTGTGAAGCTTGTCAGTTGTCGACAACTATGTAAGTTATTTATACTTCCGAATTTACAATTACCACCAAACCTTCTTAGCGCCATATATTTAAGAGTTACAAAAAAAAGTAACTTTCTTTAACTAGTCGAATAAATTCTACAAAAAGCTGCACATTTAAACTCGGCACTAGAGGTTCGGGCTGTCCGGCTTTTATTCCTCCACTTCATTCACAATGTATTTTCAGAAATCGGCCGAAACTGAAACTGTAATCAGACACTAAAGAAAACTGAAACTGAAACTTTTATGATGACTAACTGGCCGCAACAAACCAAGATCGCTGTTTGCTGTTACTTTAATGTAATACTAAGTGGATTGGTCTATAAGTGTAGATGAAAGATAAAATATTTGAAAGAAGCTCTATCCTCTTAATTTTATTTTATGTTTTAGATTTAAAGTTAGTCTTAAAAGCTTACTCTGATTTTTGTTTTGATTAGCTTTCGCTGCTTAGTGGAACACTTTAAAATAATTTCTCTCATAATTTGTCTGTAAATATAACCTAAAATAAAAGTGTGGTATGGGCCCGTATGTGTTAACTTTGTTGCAACGTTTTCATTTGTATGATTTATAGAAATTTTAAGCTTCACCAAGTGTTTTTAATGCGATCAATGGTTGTTACGTTACTGTTACGTTTTCATTACAACGTTGTCGTATAGTTTTTCTGATAACGTGGATACAACGTTGTACCAAAACGTTACATTAACCTTTAACAGCTAACTCATTTCCAACGTTGGTAATGTAACGTTTAATCAACTTGTAAACAACGTTACAAACCCAACGTTGCAAAGTGTAAATTACAACGTTTATCCAACGAACTTTTCAAGTACGTTATTAACACGTTTCAATAACAACGTTGTCGTATAGTTTTTCTGATAACGTGCATACAACGTTGTATCAAATACGTTACATTAACCTTTTACAGCTAACTCATTTCCAACGTTGGTAATGTAACGTTTAATCAACTTGTATACAACGTTACAAACCCAAAGTGTAAATTACAACGTTTATCCAACGAACTTTTCAAGTACGTTATTAACACGTTTCAATAACAACGTTGTCGTATAGTTTTTCTGATAACGTACATACAACGTAGTAGCAAAAACGTTACATTAACCTTTTACAGCTAACTCATTTCAAACGTTGGTAATGCAACGTTTAATCAACTTTTACACAACGTTTCAAACCCAACGTTGGAAAGTGTAAATTCCAACCTTAAAACAACGTTAATCCAACCAACTTTGCCGGCTGGGCTAGTGTAGTTAAGAATTAGATCCGCTAAGTCAAGACAATTAGTTTCATTGAGCCAAACGTTTGAGCTAGCGTGCCAGAAATCTGAGCCTAATTGTACCCTGAGTCTCGGCTCATGAGTCAAGACTCAGAAGTAAATTGTGGTTTAAAATGTGAGTAAATACTCACCGGATTACACTGTCTTATAGCTTTATGAATGATCTTTTTATATGTACTTGAAAGGTAAAATGTTGAACATTTTGTTGTAAATATTTTATGAAAGGTGTTATTTTTTCCGGTTTACAATAATTGTTCGAGTTACTCCAGTTAGTTGATCAGGATAGCGTAGCTTTTCTTTTTAAGTTGATTGGTTTCCTTTGTATCGGATTTCCGATAATTGATTATCATTAAGGTGACACCTGGAACACGATTCTATCACGGATACTGCATAGAAATAAATCAATTTGAGATTTAGAGACGTTTGCATGGGGTGAGATGTTAATGCACCGCACTCAACACTATTTATGTTTTTATTCTAGAACGAACACGTACAACGTATATCTGCCGTTGATAACTCGAAAATTCTGATTTATCGTGCACCCTTCAGGAGGAAGGCTTACAATCCTGTTATTTGTGGGCTCACGATGAATAGCGATAAGATTTCCAATAGCTGACACGTACAACTTGAGGGAAATATCAATAGACCCGGTATATGACGGCAGAGTAAGCATCGATTGTTTACTGCATTTTTGCCGGTGTAAACTGTATAAAAGTGCGTTTGAAACCCCCAATTTACCGGACTTCCTAATCTTTATGGAGTCCTTCAGTACGCTGTGTTTCAGAAATATCACCTCCCGTGTAGAAATGTTGCTTAATATTTGACTTATTCACTTTATATGCTATTTTATGGAGGGGATTATTTCAGCAATTTGTCCTCAACTGCTAATAAATTTTGGCGTTTAAAATTATTATTAGGGCTGCTCATAGTTTGGAATCCTAATTTTGGAGTAAAATCAAAGTGACGATCATGGCTTTAAATGAATTTATTGCTTTCAATTTTCGTAGCCGAGTGTAAGACAAAGAAAATAATTGCAGCTCTATAAAAAGCGTAAACATTGTATATGAGTTATGACTATATGTTATAATCATACAACCTGTGGTGATGAGCAGGTCAGATAAGCGGTTTCCAGGCCATGTGTACAATCATTGTACACTGTACATGGCTACCATCAGTCATTAGTCATACAATATGAATGTCAGAATGTATGTCAATTGTATATTTAGAATCGATGTATGCATATTAATAAGAAAGTAAGAGTCCAGTTTAGGATGGAGAGGGATTATAAGGACCTCTCTGGCTCTATATCAACATCATAAAGGGTGGCCTACATAACTATAACTACCCACACTCAATCCTTTAGTAACTCCCCTAATTCGTGTTAACATTGCAGTTTGCACACAAGTTTCAGAAATTATAGATATGGTTTAAACTTAGATTTCCGGACAGTTTCCCTAAATTATTTCAAGTTGATCATGGTTTGAAATTGAATCAGTGATCAGTTCAGAAACCGAGTAAGGAGGTGCGGCTACTGATGAGAAGCCTCCTTAAAGTTTATTTGGGTTAGAAACGACATCTGGGTCCCTACCCTCGCACAAGATTATTCTCAATTTTCTTGTTGTGTCCACAACAATGGCCTGTTCGGCTCACATGCACCGCTTGATTGGTTAAATACTGTTAATTGTAGTTGTAGGACCAGAGCCACTGACACTATAACAACATGTAAGATTGTAAGCTGATGCGGTCCATTTCAGGACTTATTGCTTAGCCTTGATTTTACGTATACCTTCTGTTACAATCACATACTCAATAAACGTGCTTAATTGTAGCTGTGAAAATAGTTTAATATATTATTGCAGATTCATTTATTGCATGTTTAATTTATATTTGTGCTTCTTGATTTACTAGTATCTGTATCGGAAATTCTGTGATTAAATATATTTTGTTGATAGTAATGTTCTAGAATTTGTTTTAATTCTACTTATAGATGAAAAGCTCGTATTTATCCGTTACAATACATATAAATATTAGTTTCAATTTATATATCAGCTTCAATGTGACGCATGATTGCGTTTAGTGTTTACTTCAATGTGACTGTGTGTCTTTAACAGCTTTACAATCTATTCTTTAAATCTGATCCGATTATCACTCCACCCCATGCGTTTGTCGGCCTAGGTGCAACATTAAGATTATATTATTTATAAGTCTAGTATAGCAAGGTCAGATAATGTGTGTCCAATTGTCCATGTCATGCGCGCTAATTCGAACTGTTAGTAGCACAAATATTTCGTATTTAACTTCGTATTTAACACCTAAGAGTTTGATGTAAATTTGGTCAAAGATCTCGTGACTCGTAGTTTGACGTATTTTGTTGAGATGTCAAACACAGTGTAATTTTGGACATATTTTTATCAAATTGAACAACACTGCTCTACTCAAAGTCAAACTTAGTGCCTGTCATTATTTTGATCGTCTTTATTTTGGTGCGATGTTTTGTAGAACTACATCCTATAGTTCTCATTCATTCTTCATCTTAAAGCTTTTACTTCGTTTAATCTTGCTTCCAACGAACACATTTCGTTTGTAACGTCTCAATTTTAAATTTTTTGAAACCAACGGGTTTTCCGCATTTTGATGTTCAATATCCGGGGATGCAGAAAGATCTAAAGAGTTATTTTATTATTACAATTTATTACGCAAGTAAGGAAGAATAGTAGAGGTTGTAAAGTGTGGAACTATGTCGAGCTACCAACCTATTGAGGGTGGTTCCCAAGAGGATGACGATGTAGCCAAGACAGCTAACGGAGAGAAGACAGCTAACGGAGAGAAGCCGGCTGGTCGAGGGAATTGGTAAGATAGCATTGCCAGATTGAGGTTTATTATTAATTAATTTACAAAATTGTGGTATTATTATTGAGGATAATCGCGGATCGACATTCAACACTTATTCATATACCTGCTTAGTGCTTACCATCATGCCATAAGACTAAGTCGGGCTTTTTGGATACTGCACGGTTAGGATAAAGTGAACATATTGTGCTGAATCCAAGTGTAGCACCTTTCGATTCATTAGAAAAAGAAAGTTCCCAGAAACTTCAAACACTAAATGGAAAGATAGAAGAATCTCCTACTTGGAGTTCATAGGACGTTATCTTCAACCTTTCTTAGGAGCGTGCTAGACTGCCAATGTTATACTGATTACTGCTATATCTGCTATAGCTGCTATATCTGCTGAATAACAGCTGAAACAGACTTAGTGGAAGGGTAATTCTAGAGTTTCCAGCTAAATGTGGACTGATAGTGTCAGAAACTAGGCAGTGACCGTTGCCAGATTACAAATTTAGTAATTGAAGAGCCTTAACGGCTTAAGTGTGACTTTCCCTTTCGGCGTTTTCGGCTAACGATCCTTTCCTCAGGTACAAGATCGATGAAGTTTTGGAGCACTTTGGTTCGGTTGGGAAATTCCAGGTATCATCCAATTGATTTACTACTGATTATGCAATTAAAGTATTCTTTTTTAATCAAAACTTGAATCGTTAATCCGTTATCAACTCAAATTATGATTTTTTCATATCTGAAGGCTGCGAAAATCAAAATGATTACAATGCTGTTATAAATAAAATGAGCTGCATGGAAATAAAATATCACATCAGATTGGACTGGTGCTGATAGCGTCGATATTGGCCTGGATCGCTGCCTGGAGGATCCTTTTTGATTTAATTGCTGCTAAAAATAACTTCTACTGGACATGTACTCAAAATGGCACCGATCTTGGGTGCATGTAAGTAAAAATATAAAATATCCTGATTTAATTTATAAATGAATATTTTCAAATAAACTGGATCTACACGATAGAAAAACTTCAAACAATAATTGGCAAGTCATTTTTTGATTAACACCATATTTGGCTTACCCAATCACCATATTTTTTAGTTTCTGGGGTTCACGATCATAATATTATTATTAATCGTGATTGTTTAACACTTTGGTCGGTTCGTAAATCTTGCCGATGAGTCAATGGACTTACAGATTTGATAAGAATTAGCTGTAGCACTGCAATAATAGAGTTACATTGGATGATGAATACTGAATACTGATAGCTATATTAATATAATCGTCCGCCGTTTCATCTGAAATACAGCCACTAACATCTGCTGAGAATTGTGCCGAGCTCCGCTCAGAACTGCTGATATTTAATGCTGCCTTTAGTTAATAACTTCTACTCTTCAAATAATTAACTGGAGACATGTTGAGCAATGGGCAATGGCCACCAAGAGAATGTGTAAAATACCTAACAGTTATGTCCATTGCACAACATTTCTCCATTAGATATCTCTCATAATCCTCTGCTCCATGGTTGCCATTATCGGTCCTTGGAGAATTCTCTTCGACATTTTTACGGCAAAGTCTATTCCATGGTCCTGTACAGCTGAAGAAAACGGTTGCAAGTAAGTCAAGAAGGGAACCAGAAATCAATGGGAACATTGGACACGAATAGAACCCATTGTAACACATACATGAGAAGGCCGATGGAATAAATCAAAATAAAACAACATAGAATATATAGGTCTAGATGAACAAATTAATATTTCAATACCAGGTATTACACTTATATGACATCGGTAATGATTACCTAATGTTATCACTTAAACAATGTTTTCTCCGCTAGATTTGAAGAAGGGAAGATGCCGTGTCAAGTGGACGCTAACGTGGCTTTAGAAGAGGACGGGAGGATAGGAAATGGGCACTTTTGGAAATTTGATGAGGAATATGCAGAGTAAGTTTTTTGGTTAATTTTGTTGAATCGTTTTAATTAAGACTATGTTAATGGCTTATTCATGTCACCATCACGCTTATCAAAATGATTACTGGACATTGAGTGTGAAGCTGATCTCTGAGTCGTCTAACACTGAGCGTACAATGTCAAACTTACAACAAACTTCCAGCCATTCTATAAGAAGCACAATGAAGATGAGTTGTTCGGAAGATTGGAAGTTCAGCTTTGCTTCGTCGATATATTTCATTGGGGCTTTCTTCGGAGTTTGGATATTCGGTTCACTCTCTGATATGCTAGGTAACGTTGAAATGTTGAAATTTTGATTCCAATTTAAAAACTGAACAAGGACAAATAGGTGCGTTCAAATTATTTGAGGCTATCTTGCTGCAAGTTGTTTTGAATCTTCTCGTCGACAGTTTCCAACTACATTTTGCTACAGGAAGGAGAAAGACGTGCATGATAAGTTTGGGAATATGCTGCATTCAAGCTTGGATAATCCCGTTTTTCAACAATATTAACGTTTACCTAGCCTGCCGTTTCTTCGATGGGGCCGCTTTTGGTGGTTTCTTCCTCATAGCTTTCGTCTTAGAGGTAATGTAATTATTTATGAATAAAAACCATGATTTTACAGCGTGAACATTTTTATCAGTTTTCGATAGATCTCATTAAACTTTTTTGCCGTGAAATGATTAGTATTAACCCTATTAACCCTATTATAAACCCTATTTATTGCCCTGAAGCTCCCCTCTTTTCTGTTCAGGTGGAATATGCTCCTCCTCGGTACAGAAACAAAGTCGGAACTGCTTTCCATTTTATGACTAGTGTTGGTAAGTGGTATTGATGAGCATATTTGACAAATCTTAATGTGTAACTTCCTACTTGATGCTGAAGTAGTATGATCGAAGTTAATTTTCAACACTACCAAAAGTCAGTACTCATACGTTATATCAAAGCCATGTTTCATGGAGCCATGTTTGATATTTGAGATTTGAAACCTGCAACTTTGCAGAAAGTATATTGTGAAATTTATCAGTTTTCGATAGCCTGCCCTGTCAATAAAACAGTTATATTTGTTTGAAGGCTCTAGAGCGTTTTCCCAGGAATGGCAACTGTGGCAATTTGGGGAATGATCTTCAAGTCGTGGAAGTGGTACGCCTTGGCTCTAGCCTTTCCCCCAACCATCATGCTCCCCATCTGCTATTTCATGCTTCCTGAATCGGCTAGGTAAGTTATTTTACTATAATATATAAAGCCTGATTTTCAAAATATATGTATAATATTTTATTATGTTAATATATACAGAGCTATAACTTCAAGTAAATAGCTGTATAAGTGTATACATATAACATATTATAAAATATAAATGTATATAACATATACTGTCACACAATATATACGATTAACGATTGTTCTGGAAGATAATGTCTTAGGTGTGGTAAACACATTCCAACCCATTAAGTAATGACTGATGATGCTCTTAGGCCATAGCAAATATGTAGTTATTTATCAACAGAACATTCGAGAACCTTTCTCGATTTACTGTAATATTAGTTGTTATAGACAAGTAGAAGACGTTGTTATGACGATGCCGGATGCTGTTATAAATTCCACAATAAGTTCGCAATAAACACCACCATGCTTTCTCTCAGGTACTACTTGGGGAAAGGAAAGGATGCGAAAGCTCTGGATATGTTAGAGAAGGTGGCCAAATGGAACGGGAAGGAGGTTCCGGAGGGGTGCCATCTGTTCGAGGAGGATGAGGAGAAGGTTAGCATCAGGGAATTGTTGGGCAAACTCACCGGAGGTCGACTCGTCAGGTGACTAAAACTGGTCTTTTGGCAATGTGCCATTTTGGACAGACTGAAAATGTGAATCCAGCCCTGAACCCAGACTCACCAACTAATTATCCACATTCTTCAGATGCATGCTAATCAACATGTTCGGGTGGTTCATGACATCTCTGGTGTACTACATGTTGTGGTTCAGTGCCAAGTCTCTAGCAGGGGACATTTATGTGAACGCGGTTATCCTCGGTCTCGCTGAACTGCCAGGTTACACTCTTATCAATTTATCACTGTCTTATCAGTACTGTTAGAGTATTAGTTGTCAGACCACAATACTGATCTGTTAATAAACAAACTTCTGGTACCAGCGTCGCTTGAAATAACTCACTGTGAAGATGGTGGCATAATTGTTAAATGCTAACTTTTTCAGGGAGGGTGGTAGCATACTTCTTGATGGAGAAGATAGGAAGGAAGTACACCTTTATAGGTTCTATTGGTATTGGATGTATCTGTATGTTTGTCTCGATCTACGAAAACAGTATCAGCAGAAAGATTATGTACTGCATTGGCAAGGTACCATATATTTGAATCTGACACGTTTATTGACTTTAATCCTTATCTATCTTACTGACTAACACTAGCAGGTATATTTGGATGAAGTTATTGCCGACGAAAAGCATGATAATAGTGGTTAAAATAAGAACATACTGTCTAGTCTTATACTCTTCATAGTTGTACAATGTACAACGTTGTACTACTCATACCCTTAGTATTATAGGGATAGTACGGAATAATCTTCCAACATGATTGGATCATATTCCTATATTCGATGTATAATCGACATCTTCCGGGGCTAATTATACGTCCTCTGGTAGTACCCACTCATATGCAAATTATGCATGTGCCTGAGGAATTTACATACCTCCCTACAACTGGGTTAAACGTTTCAGCTCACGCTTGTGAGAGCATGGGGCAAAAATTCAAAGTATTAAACATTATACTATTAACACAATTAGACAGTAAATTGCAAAAGTTAAACAGTTAAGTTTAAGCATGGTCAAATGTAACTAAGTGTCCGATTCTGAGTACAAGGTGGTCATAGAGATTCATATCACTTGCACGTTGTGACGTCATTGGTATAGTTATAGTTGCGTGACGTCATTGTTCAAGTAGTGTGACGTAATTGGTCAAGTATAAGTAGTATAGTGTGACGTCATAACTTCCTTCAGGCGGTGACGGGATCTCTGTGGGCTGTGATCTATCTTTATTCCAGTGAAATGTACCCCACTAAAATACGAAATCTGGGTTCAGGTAAGCACTGTATACCATAACTAGGAGACAAATCCCAATATCATTGTAATACAACTTTTTTTGGAAGTAAAGATTTTATTGAACTTTGTAAGTAAAGATTTGAGAATAATTCTATACATTCGACCGACCGACAAATTTAGAATTTAAGTTTTTTGATTAATGAAACTAATGATCTACAGGTATAGGATCTGCTGCAGCACGAGTTGCAGCATTGATAGCTCCCTTCATCGGAGATTGGCTGGAAGTGTCCCCTGTTGTTCCTTATATTTTAGTTGGTAAGGGAAAATATTAATATTGAAATTTCAGCCGATTTCTAGCTTCAGTTGAATCAATGAGGACTCTCTAGTCTCTTCGGTTACATTAGACGGTTTTTTTTACTTCCAATATTTCAGATAAATTAAATGTATACTCCTTACAGGAATACTGGCTATGATATGCTGCGGAGTGTTCATGTTTGTCCCGGAAACTTCTGGAAAAGACATGCCACAAACCTTGGAGGACTTCGAACTACTTTTTGAGGATGGGAAAGAGAGAGATGAGGAGAAGATATAGAGTTATCTAATTGCATGAGGTCCTTAACTTTATTAAAGACAGTGGCAAGGGCATAGGCCATAGTTACAAGTGATTATAACATAGTTGAAAAATGTGATATCTGATTAGGGACATTATTTATAAATCGCATTTTTTAATGTTGAGTGTTCAAAAGTTCTGGTAATCAGAAATAGCTGAGTAATGAACGTATTATTTTTTCCAAAAAATAATTTTAAACCAGAAAAATGGTCACTGAAGTTGCTGTGCAGTGCGCAATCAATTGGGCTGGACGACACAAAACCCTATTTTGGTGTAAGGGTATTTAATACTTTCAACGCTTCTAGTACTAATAGTAACTATATTAGTAACTAGTACTAATTGTAACAAATAATTTATTATAATGATAGTGGCACTGTCATAGTTAGCGAAAGGTAGAACATATTGAATATGATGTAGTCAGAACTTTGAAACGTTGACCATCTACCTTTCACTAAAAAAAGCTTTTGCCATATCTGCGTGATTATCAAAGATTTTGAACGCTCAACACCGTAGTAAATAGGATTATTTTAGTATTTCCAGTTCCACTGAAGATTGTACAAAGGATTTCACCGTCGTTAGGATTGAATTTCATCATGATTACAGTTTTTGAACTGATTCCTTGATTAAGGTGGCCCGCCATCAGTAGATTAGATTAGTAACCAGGGACTGCAACAATTTTAACACCTAAAAACAGCTGACCCTAACTTCATCATTAAATGTCTGAGGAATTTAATTCACCGAACTGATTCCCTTATTGAGGTGATTCGACCAATTTCACCTTTTCCGTTTTCGCGTTGTCGTGATATCTGTTTACTTGTTGACCCCTTCGATTCCCTTTGTTACTGTTATCTATGTCAAGAAATCTCGGCTGCACGATAAGTATAATTTTGCGAGACAGTTTTATGGCTTGATTGATGATAAGAGATTAGCCAGGTGGTGGTTACCGAAGTTCAGGTTCCTATCTCTGTTTCCTCCTGCTGTAAATACTATCGGCCTATCAAATCCTCACGCATAAAAACTAACGTTTTCTCATTAAAAAATCAAGTTACCCAACCGATTTGTTATAAATGAGCCGAGGAAATCGTAGAACCATTCATCCGACACTGATGGTCGAGCAAGTGGCTCGCACACCTAGTTCGTTTAGTTATCGGATTCGTTATTAGGTTTGCTGTGTATTTTGTTAGTCCATAACTTATTATAATGAATTAATATAAATTGTTATTGTTAACATTTTTATAGATTTGTACCATGCTAGGGATCGATACGTGTATTACGTAAGCCAGGGGGAGGTGGTTTAGAAAAACTTGTAATTTCTACACTAAAGCTTTTGTTTTAAGTGACTTACTAAGGGGGATCAGAGGGCTTACGTAATATTTGAACGATCCCAAAACACGCTTTTTTATGCCTCAAATTTGTCGACTTTTACTTCTCCGATGTCTATATACTCAACTAAATCGTACTAAAACAGGAAATATCATAAGCACATTTCTTCTCGTATCAGTTGTCCGTAAATAATGAATAAGTAGAAAACGATAACAAAAACGGTGCAAGTGACAAATAAAACAGTAAATATTGGTCTAGGCAAACAAGGACTAGGAGCACCAAACGTTAGGCTTGTAGTTGTAGTCTGTATGTAACAGTAACACTGAACTGGCTAAATTTGTGATATAATCTCTCGACCTTTTCTTCGGAGAACTGACTTTTCCTTCCTCAACAATTTGAATCTTTTTTGAGTGCGAACACTTGTTTTAAATGGTAACTTATTAGACTTTTACTTTTATTTTTCTTTACTTTTATTGGTCAAGTTATCAAAATATATCGTAATTAGAAGAGTGTATCCAAATAATCAATAATCAATCATGAATCAAACATCCTCGATCATCTTGTTATGAAAACTTGTCTTTTTTTCTTATCTGTTTATCTTACTCTTTCATTGTTGATCGTCATAACATAGTCCTCGTCAAAACGGGTAAAACTATAGTCTCTTGTTGGTAACAATGTTACGTGTATGAGAATTAAGACTGTGAAAATCACGTGGTACCGGAGTAATGCAGAGATTCGTGTACGAATGTAACCATGGTTACAACAACCATGGTTACAACACCTTGCTATTCAAACAAGTTACTTCATGACTATTATCTTAACTCCGTGGGGTAGTGTTTTCATTATGTTACAGTTTGAGATAGAGTTCTGACAATTCAAATTTAAGTACTTTAAAATTAAAGTAACTTTACAACATCATATTTCACATCATTGTTCACATTCAGACAATAAAAATGTTGTAAAGTTACTTTAAAGTTAGCACAATGAGAAAGACTTTGCGGAGAAACGAGGGGCTTTCATGGTGCCCCAGTAACTGATCGTACTCCGTTGTATAGATCTATATTTTAGCGTACGCATATTGATCACATTTGATATAATCACATACCACTAGGAACTTAGGAACCGAGTACCTATCTAGGGATTTGGCTGCAGGACTGGAATCGGTCAGATATCAATGAATCTTCCTTTTTTTTAGACCGGAACCGCGAGTTATGTGGCAAACAGGAGAATTAAAATCTTACTGAAAAGTTTTAAGATTTCCGACCGCTCGCTGCTAAATCTCAGAAAATTAAAAAATGTATCCTAACAGTTTTGAAATTTCCGATTTCGTGCACTTCATGCCATATTAGACCCTGTGATCCTATGCTAAAGACCCGGCATATATACTTTTTAACCGGATCAGATCTCGAGACATGCTTTTAGGTCTGCAAGATCAAACTGTGAGGACCCGGAATTTTACCTGAAATCCCCAAATGAAGTTTTTTAAACACAATTTGCCTGAAAAATTTTGAAATTTCCAGTTGATTTGCGGCCACGCAACCTAAACCAGACCGGAACCGGATATTAAGCTGTATATCCGGCCAGAACCGTATTCATCCAGATATTCGGCAAAATTTAGCGAGAGTGCGGCCCACATGACAGGTGAATATCTCTAAAACTAAGCACTATATACCCTATATTGCTTTAAGGGGGGGGGGGGGGGGGGGGTTCACCCTGATTTTTTTGTGAAACTTGGTTTCGAGATAGCAGTTGACCAACAAACTAAGACCAGTGACCAAACTTTTGAGGGGGTCCCGGACCCCAACCGCCAAACGGTGCCCGCGGGGCAGCCACGCCCATATTTGGTCCAAATTAGGCCCAATTTAGCCAAATACCCTGAACATGCCCAAAATCAAGATTTTTAGGTGCCTTACTTGTAGCTAATGGTCCCCTGAACTCGTATATGAAATTTCATCAAGATTGGACGAAAAATGACTGAGTTATGAGCCAAAAACCATAAGACCATATTTGGGCATACGCACCTAATTTGATCGAATTTGGCCCATAAATTGGGCAAATATCAATATTTTTGAAACAAACTTTATATGAAAGGTAAGCCTAAACTACACATTCTATTTGATTGTCAGCTCAATATCTACCTAATTGTGGATTCTGTGTTCAAATAATCGCAAAAAATGAACAAAATCGCCCATATCTCAGTTCGCGATATTTGCAAAACTGACTTCGCTCAAAACAATAGAACTCAATAGGGTTTCAATATTTTTTCATGAAATTTTCAGAATCAACGTAGAATTGTCTCATGACCTTAAGTTTTGGGACAGAATTTTGAGTTAGGCCTTTAAAAAAGTTTGGCGGCCAAATTCCAAAATTTGCCCTGCTAAATTTAGACCCCCTCAAAAGTTTGGCCACCGGTCCTAGTTTGTTGGTCTACTGCTATCTCGAAACCAAGTTTCACAAAAAAAATCAGGGTGACCCCCCCCCCCCCCCCCCCCTCTTAAAGCTTGTAGATAAATATGGCCATTGCAGTTAGTTTGAGCTAAAAGAGAGGCTCCTACAACGTTCAGAGGCTGAAATACAAAATTCGTATTATATTTGCGCCTGAGGGTAATTTAGAAATTTTGCTCTAGGGTTGGACCTACTGATAAAATTGCATACCTCATCATGATCAATACTGATCCAGAATGACCTTAAAAAGGACCTTGTGTATAGAAAAGTACTAGTAGACCCGAAATGAATACTTGATTTCACTTAGCTTAGAAGAGTAGATTTTTTACTCGCACTCCAGCGAAAATCAGTTTTCCTGAATTGTTTCAAAAAGTGAGTATTTGATTACGGTTGATTACGGAGGGGAGGAGGGGGGTAAAAATTGATAAAATATTGATTACGTAACGGGTGCATGACTTGTGCGACTATCATTAATTGAATATTGTTTTCAATTTCAAGTGAAATTTGGAATAATCATGACCAAGACTCAGAAGCAACGTTTTAGGGTTAACTGATTTGATAAAAGCCAGATACAGTATTACCCCGATTTATTGCGGAGTTTTGGAGAAAGAAAAACCGCAGTAAATCGGGATTTGCGGTAAATCGGGGTTTTGGTTGTTTACACTATGTATGTAGAGCCCTATTTGGGCGAAAAGAAATTACCGCGGTAAATCGGGGTTTTCAGTAAATCAGGGCGCGGTAAATCGGGGTTTTACTGCATGCAGAAACTGAAGCTGAGGTTCTTATCTCTCACCTGGTATCGCGATTTATCTCCAATTACCAATTGGGAAGTGGCGGCTACTTATTTCCTAAATTTAATCACCGACACTGTACCATCTTACATAACCGGCAATATGATAAGGCTTGCTACTCATTGTAAAATTTACATGTTCGGGTTGATCTTCTTGGGCTACTTTCCAATTTATTTCTTTACCCGCATGACATTTTTTTCAGACAGATCTTATTTTGGTCTTCCAGTTTTACCATTTTTGACCAAGCTGCAACCTGTCTCTAATTTCTTCACAAGCCGTACAATCGTTGTATCATGGAGCTTGCAGAATTTGGACTTGTCCCTTCTTTGCAGGAGACGCCGAGCACTTGTAACACTGCAGCTCCACATATCCAATAGGTCTTTACAATCTCAAGTTTTACTTCTTTTGAGAACCCCATTTATAGGACGAATTTACAATTTTTTGGAAAACTCATGCCAAAAATCAACCACATTATGAGTTAGAATCAAATAAGAGGTAATATATATATAATAATATAAGAATACAATTTGTAACGTTTATGAACTGATAGCAATTCATTTTTCATAATTTGTTCCTTCATAAAAAAATGTATCGATTTTTACAATCCACACATTATTTTCAACTCACACTGTACATGACCAAATCCTTATCAGCTGCATGATGAGCAGAGCCGTAATCAGATTACCATTGCTCGATATTTCTTAAGTTATATCGCCCATTGTTGTAGGGGTCGTTCACACTTCACATAATTACGTAATCAACATTTTAGCAATTTTTACCCCCTCCCCCCTCCATAATCAACCGTAATCAACCGTAATCCTGACAGCAATATTACGTAATCGACGACCAAACCCCCCCCCCCCACCCCCTCGGCTGATTACGTAATATGTGAACGACCCCTTAATCGTACTCTCATGGTAATATCCACGTACCAGCTGGATATAGGTCCTTAATATTTTGTAAACAAATGCCGAGCACAGTTTCCAAGGAAATTTTTCGTCATGCTTTGCAATAACCGCCATTTTCTGCAATTTTATTCAGTTTAAAACCTTTGATATGCATGATGCAGCGGTTAATTACTATTAGGTATGTTTGAGTAAGCCTGTGTTCAAACACGATAAATACCTTTGCTAACTCGTTTGTGAACATTTCTTGTCGCTTATATTACGGAAAAAATATTCTACTTCATCCTGCTTTGAATGAACCGCCAATTTCTGCGGCTGCAAATTTTTCATCTTAAAAACCATCGCCATGAAGTGGGCAAGTTTGAATTTTTGAGTATTCCTTGTGAAGTTGTGAGTGCAGTTAAAACATTGAGCATCATAAACATGTACATTGTATATCTTACTATATATAAAGCGAGACGATATATATTTATCTACCTTACTCGGGAATATTATAACCGGGATAAAGTGGTGGGTTTTGGAAGTTTCCGCCATATTTTTCCCGGTCAAAAATTTTACCAGTCATAAAAAAACCCGCCGACTCAGATTATGGGGTTCCAAGGGGGTGGTGATCATCATATTTTACCTGAAGTCTCATATGTGCTAGAGAAAACTTTTGAAGCAGTGGATGGAGGGCTGTCACTTTATTGGCGGTTGCTACCATAATTTCGTTATAAAAATCACAATTTGGTTATAGAAATCAGATTTCAGGGTGGACCGTGATTCTCACTTCTCTTGCCCATGAATCAGTGAATCGTAGAGAAGAAAACAATTTATATGTTATAGAAGAAAACGAAAATAATAATAATATATAATATATATTATAATAATAATGTCTCTAAAGATTGATCGCTTCTCGTGTGCAGTGTGTAGACTAAAGAAAGAGGGAGTTTTTCCCGTTAAAGTAACTTGTGGCCACATCCCGCTAGAAGTGAGTAAACTGTGCCACTATTTCATGGTCCACGGTGGATTGATTACTGGAGCAGTTGAAGATGCAAAGCCAAGACGTTCCCCAATACCAAGCGGTGGGCAGGAAATTAAGCTCCGGCTGACCTTCAGAGCAGTAGCCCCATTAGCGGACAAAATGAAAGTCTTGTTAAGACAACAATACAACTTCGAATTTGACGGCCAGCAGCTCAGGGGGATATCAATAATGACAATGGCGGGGACATTAGCGATTTTGAGAATGAGAATACGCTTTAATGAAGATTTGACTTATTATTGCTTAGATTTATTTTCCTTTAAATAGACGTGTCTTTTTTTCTATTTCTGAGTAATATCAATAACTGTAAATTGAAATAACTTCTTTAACAAGTAACAAAAACAGAAATTTCGGTTGAAAATTTGTTGACCTCTGAAAAAAAACTTGAAAGGTCGGCCACCGGTAAATACATGACCGGGATAATTTGGCGGGTTTTGGGAAAGTCCGCCATATTTTTCCCGGTCATTAATTTTCCCAGTCATAAATTAACCCGCTATAATATTCCCGAGTAAGGTATGTATATATCTGTACCAGAGTTAGACGGGTTCCATTTCTTGTCACTTACGGAAAAAATATCCTACTTCATCCTGCTTTGAATGAACCGCCATTTTCTGCGGCTGCAAATTTTTCAGTTTAAAATTAAAACCATCGCCATAAAGTGGGCAAGTTGGAATTTCTGAGTATTCCTTGTGACTAGTTGTGATCAGTGTAGTTAAAACATTGAGAATGATAAACATGCACATTTTATATGATAATTAATATCTAAAGATAATACAGCTAAGCTGAAGTTTATCTTTTATCAAGTTTTCTAGAAAGTACCTACATAATATTATCTGCAATCCGTATTAACCAGGTCACCAGGCAGGCACATATAATCGCAATAATCCCAATTATTGTGTGGGTTAATTGTGTGTTTGTGAGTAATTTACGAACGGCTTAATCTAGAAAACGTTCAGTGTATAGTGGCGACAAAACTCTGACGAAGCTAAATAATTATAATTTGAATTATTAGATCATACTTCATACTTTACATTAGTGGCTCGCATAATGTTTTCATGTTTGCTGTTTAGGGTTCTGTGACTGTTCTGTAATAACTGTTCTAAAATATAAATTCATACCCACTGCATATGTTATACGTGTCATGACTGTGATTATGAAATATTCAGTAAATATTCAGTAAATATTACCAATTGTAGTAGTTTTGTTATAGCTCCACGATGAGGGTCAGTATAAGTGAGCGGGTTAGTATGTGTGAACCAAACACTCCCGAACCATCATCCTTCCAAAAGTAAGTTACGTTTAGAATGTTTTGTAGGTATCACTCACCACATTCAATAATTTTATCGACTTTCGCAATTTACAAAAATTGTAATCTTTCATTTGATATCCAACCTTGTAAGCATCAAACCTAAAACCTTGCAGGTTGTGTACATTTGTGTTGATAAACTTGTCCCTGTTTGTGTCCTATGCTCTTTATACCTTACCCGGAGCCTTCCTCCCCATCTACAACATGGACAGAGGCATTGGAGCTGCCAGCACTGGTGAGCGGTTGTTTAATTCAACTTTACTTTTAATACATTAGGTTTATCTGCCCATATTGTATATTATAATTTGAAAAGCTGCTTAAGAAGTCTCAATCAAACAACTAAATCGATCCATATTTTTTCGTACTATACTCTCTATGACTAATATTCAGGAATTATTCTGGCATGTGTACCTCTGTGTTACATCATAGTGTGTCCTATTGCTGGCAAACTTCTGGACAAATACAGTGCTAAAACTATGCTCCTCATATCAACAGGTATGTTTAATGTTTATACCCAGCTATATAATATACTAAAAGGCACCGAGTTTTAACTTTTATTATACAGTCTGTGTTATAGAGTCTATGATGGTCGACCGAGTCCTCGCCCAAAAACCGTCCCTCAGTCGACCCCTGATGATGGATCATAACCCTAAAACAACAGGGATCGTGTTATTAACCCCAAAGATTGTTTTACAGACTAATATAAACCTAACGAATAACATTTTGATATTAGAGACACTTTTGATTATATTACTGAATATCAACCCCAGGTATGTTAGCGGTGGTGACGTTTCTCAGTGCTGCCCTAGGTCACGTGACATCTAACACGTGGTTTATTTGTCTTATAGTCCTCCTTAGACTCATTCAGGTAATTAGAAACTGATCTTCAAATTAATATCACCAACACCTAACAGTTGCATATCTCAAAAAACACTTTTGAGTGCTTTCTTTAGAAATGAAACTGTTCAGAGTCATTCTTATCATCTGCATCTATCAGTTATTTAAAGAATCTGAATTTTATTTTCAAAATATGTAATATCAATGATATTACATATTCTGAAAATAAGATTCAGACTCATTTATTAGTCTCGATTATTGAGGGTAACAGTTCATTTTAATTACGAGGACATTAGTAAACCATACCGAACAACTTTTAAATTTATACCATAAAATACTATCTGGGGGTCCTTTCCGAAATGAAACTTAGTAGTAATTATTGCTTAGTTTCCCTTTTTTGCTAAAATCCGTTCCGAAAACCAACTTAAGTAACAAAGTTAGCAAATTTTCAAGCAAAATTTTTGAACTAAGTTTTTACTTCGATTTTTGCTTAGTTTCAACTTAAGAGCTATTTTTCCCGATCCATGACTCAAAGTGCCGAAGGCACAAAAGAGTCAAGGACAAGGGTTAGCGATCGAGGTTTTTTTTAATATGGTAGCTTTGCGACGGTGCCTGCGAGTGTGCGACCGTACGTGCCTGCGAGCACTGTTATCGCCCACGTGACTACCTGCGCAAAGTTATTTTGCGTGACAATCTGAATTATATAATTGTTGGCGCGCGGCGCTGAACCAACCAAGTGCATTGCCATTATTAATTTCATCATGTACGTATCCCACTGCACACTAGGCACTAATTAATAGCATATTATTATTATTTTGAGTTAGTATTACTAATACTATTTTGCACAGATCCTTGTCAGGTTGCATAAACAATAAACATATGGTTACATAGAAGTATACACGATTTTCAAATTCAATATAGAATTATATTAACTGGGCGGCGCTCGGCGCTCGGCATGTCACTTCGCCATATTTGCATGTTTATATAAACAGTAAAGACTGGGCCGTCCCCAGGTTGTATGGAATATGATAAATACGCCATCACAGATCGGGAAATTGAGCGGCCATCCATGCGGCCGCATTTCTTGTTTGCTTAAGTTGCTTCTAATTTTTTATTTTTTGCTAATTTTTTTAAGTTTGGTTAAGACCAACCTTAGAATTGTAAGTTTTTACTTAATATCCCAAATTTCATTGCAAGTTGATTGAATTGAACAATTTGAACAATAATTCAGGGTTCTAAAAAGGATTTTAAAGTTATCATTTATCAAGAAAAGTAATCATTAACAATATTATTCCGTACATTAATTCCTTTTCTGATTTCTTCCGCCTCGTTCGGCTGCCTTGGAGGGGCAGCCCGCCGGGATTGTTCAGCTTGCTCTTCTCTCATATCTTGAAGAATGTGTGGCAAAATTTCTGGATCACGAATTCTCCTATTACGGCAGTAATTATGAAATACAACGCATGCAGCAATGATATCGCAACTAATTTTTGGTTTGAATTGCAAACCACCCGTATTTTTACTGTCAAGACATCGCCATCGTGATTTGACCACCCCATTTGTTCGTTCTATAACACATCTACACCGTTTCAAGGACTTATTGAACCTTTTCTCTGCCTCTGATTTTGGATCCAGAAATGGAACGATAAGTCTCTCACGCAACGGGTAACCCGAGTCGCCAATTAGCCGACCGGATACAGATGAAGTGCTGAGATTTCTGCAAATTTCGCTCATTTTCCAGACCGTGCTGTCATGAACTGACCCAGGCCACCGTATAGAACATGCTGTGATGACCATATTCATGTCACATACGAACTGTACATTTATTGCGTGTTCTCCTTTCCTATTAACATATATCTCTTCATTAAATTTAGCAGTGCAAATTTTGGAATTTGGCCGCCAAATTTTTTTAAAGGCCTAACTCAAAATTCTGTCCCAAAACTTAAGGTCATGAGACAATTCTACGTTGATTCTGAAAATTTCATGAAAAAATATTGAAACCCTATTGAGTTCTATTGTTTTGAGCAAAGTCAGTTTTGCAAATATCGCGAACTGAGATATGGGCGATTTTGTTCATTTTTTGCGATTATTTGAACACAGAATCCACAGTTAGGTAGATATTGAGCTGATAATCATAGAGAATGTGTAGTATAGGCTTACCTTCCATATAAAGTTGGTTTCATTCAAAAATATTGATATTTGACCAATTTATGGGCCAAAATTGATCAAATTTGGTGCGTATGACCAAATATGGTCATATGGTTTTTGGCTCATAACTCAGTCATTTTTTGTTCAATCTTGATGAAAATTCGTATACGAGTTCAGGGGACCACTAACTACAAGTAGAGCACCTAAAATCTGGGTTTTGGGCATGTTCAGGGTATTTGGTTAAATTTGGCCTAATTTGGACCAAATATGGGCGTGGCTGCCCCGCAGGCACCGTTTGGCGGTTGGGGTCCGGGACCCCCTCAAAAGTTCGGTCACCGGTCTTAGTTTGTTGGACAACTGCTATTTCGAAACCAAGTTTCACAAAAAAATCAGGGTGAACCCCCCCCCCCCCTCTTAACTGTGGCGTACTACAATTTTATACCAAATATCTTTATGTACTTGCCACTATCAACTACATTAATTACCATATTTAATTGCTCGTTCATAAATATTACTTCACAGGGAGCCAATGGTGGAGTAATAGACGTGATAGCATTTGCTATAACTGCGAAGATCTACCCTAACAACATAGCACTCACCACATCTATCATAGAAACCTCCCTCAATCTGGCTGTTGCTTTTTCTCCTTTCCTTGGAGGAGTTTTCTACGAGGTGCGTTATTTTTATTCGGCTTTAGGTGGTATTTTTTAACATACTTTTTAACATGCTATTCCCGATAAATATAAATGAATGTTTGTTTTCACTTTCCAGAATGCGGCCTTAAAGAAAGCATTAAAATACAGTTCATCAATTGAAAAATAAAAACTGGGTATCAATCAATATGTGATTGTTATATACCAAATTATATTTATCGGACGTTATTTGACCGGAAATTGTGTGAACGGACATAATTTTGAACGGACATTATAATGAACGCTAATAAGGCCTCTAACGTTTAATTAATTCCCGTTAGAAACAAAATAAAGTCCGATAAGGTATGCAAGGTTACACATTCCATTACACTCTACAGGCAGGGGGTTTTTACCTGTCTTTCGTCGTGACAGCATGTGCAGTAACTGTGGTTCTGATCGGAACCTTCTTTGGGGTTACTAATGTGGATACTACAAAGGATGAGGATGGGGGGAACCTGTTTAGGTGAGTTAATCATAATAAGTTTGCTTATCAATTATTCTGTATTCATTATGTGATATTTCATTAAATAGTCAATAATCATTTCGAGTTCCGCTTTGTCATTTTTACATTTTCCTGTTACTTTTTGTTAATACATATTACCTTAATATCTTGTTAATATATTTTGAATATAATAGCGCAAAATATAAATGCCATAAAGTTGTTGAATTTTCAATCAACAAAGACCGACTATGATTTAACTAACAACCATGTTCGATTATTGTTCGTGAATTTAAGTCTTTTAATTTCAGTGTACTGAAGGAAGTGACAGTTTGGTTCCCAGCCTGGCACTCAGCGGCTTGTATGATCCTATTTAACTTTTATATTCCGATCCTCTCTCCTTACGTACAGGTATAAACAATAACTGTTAATGTAATATCAAATATCCGTTATATTAGATCACATTTGTCGAACTAGAGTACGCTACCTGGACTTTAGTTCGACACGACGTACCGAATATAGAAGTTCGACAGGGTGATTTCTGGCGATCTTAAGTTATCGAACTAGAGTGCGTGTCGAAATGAGAAACAGAGTACATGGATCATGTTTTGTATTTCCATCTAATTACTTGTATGTTTTAGTTGCAATTTGAGGTTTAGCGTTAAACAACATGTTTTCTAATCTCCAGAAGACTATTTCAATTCAAACCGTCAGCGATTAAACTCGTTTTCACCAACTTAACCATTTACAATTTACGGATTTACCTCCTCTCCCAGGAAACGTTTAACGCAGGACCCACATTTGCTGGCTTTGCTCTCCTAATCAACACCGCTGGTATCTGCATCACAGCCCCCGTCCTAGGCCACCTTATGGACAAACTCAACCCCTACGTCTTCATGGCTGCTTCTGCATTCCTTCTCCCTGTTTCCTATTGGTTCCTAGGTCCCGCTCCTTTTATGGCCGTAAGTTTTTCATACCTACCTAGAACAAGTCACTTTTACTTTAGTTTGTTTTTGTAGTTTTATTAAAACTTAAATCTATAAAAGATTATTAAATTGTTAATAAACTTAATTCGGTATTTATAAGCATTTAGCATTAATATCTTTTCAGGGTGTATTAACGGCATCCAAAACACAATTACTTGTAGCTCTGGGTGTTATTGGTGTTTTGGTTCCCCTCGGATGTTATCCTGGACTTCTCATAATGTTCGACATATACACGGTAAGCAATATATAGCGGAGCTTGATAGTCCAGTAAATTGAGATTTCTTAGATTCTTATTTAGAACGGATAATGATTTTGATCAGATTAGACAGAGATGCAACAGGCTACGTTTCAAATCACTCTAAAGGATATATTTTACCAGGTTAAGTTTGGGAAAATGCCTCAAGCTGTGAAGAACTACATCACCTCTATTTACTGCGCTTCCTTCCCTCTGGGAGGCTGCATTGGATCTGCTATGTCCGGTTTGCAAAACTTAAGCTTTTGAATTTTAAGGAAGGAATTAGTTTAATGTAGTCCGAGGAGACCTCACTTCCTCACTCCTCGCTTTCTCTTTAATGGCATATAGTCAACCTTAAACACTCCCTACTCCCTACTCCCTACTCCCTACTCCCTACTCCCTACTCCCTACTCCCTACTCCCCTTAACACTCCTCTTGAATACTCCCTCCCATCAGGAGTTATAGCAGAGAGATTGAGTTTTGGTCTCTCAACCACCTACATATCCTTTGCATTCCTCGTCCAGACAGTCCTGGTGATCTGGTGGTGTATAGTTGTGTGGAGAGTGAAGAGAGAAGCTAAGAGAGCTAAACTCAGCTTCTCTGAATCCAATCCTCTTATAGACAACGGCGAAGTACGAAATTACGGTAACTGATGTGTTACAGATCTGTGTGTGTTACAGAACTGTGTGTGTTACAGAACTATGTTACAGAACTGTGTGTGTTGATAGTATGAAACGAAAATTGCAATTTATTATTATCTTTTGCACAAAAATAACGCCTTTTTCTGTCATATCACAATCAGTTAACATATTACAATAAAACTGCTACCTTAGCAAGAATGGTTACTATCGTCACAAGAGCAGAGATAATATGAAATTTAAATACAAATGCAATGGCTGGTAAAGTGTCGTACAATGCACAAAACTAGCAACTTAATTATACTAAAAAATTTTAATGAAAACAAAGCTAGTCGCTAGATAAGGTTGACACTAAAAACGGTCGCTTTATGCTATTTCATCTGTGATATTTGTACTGCATTAGATAAGAAACAGTAAAAAATAAGCAAAATCATTTCAATAGCTACTCTCCAGCTTCAACATCAAAGTCGTATAGATAATAGATATCTTTTTAAATTTAATTCATTAATTCAAGTTAAATAATATAATCATTCTTCTAATAGAGTGGATCGTTATTTACATTACAGGAATGAATAAAATAGAAAATAAATAACAACTTAATTCTTACAATCATGAGATAAACAACCAAGACTAGCCTAGTAAGCAAACAAAAATAATATGTACACAAATATACTGTTGCGCGTGATACATCAAAACATAATAAACGGTTAATAGATAATAGTAATAATCTCCTAAAAAATAAAGGACAAAACAAAAATTAAAATCAGCATACCCAATACTCTAAGAAATCATATAATACTTTACACATTATTATATATAACACAATTAAACGAAGTTGTCCAGGTAGAAATGTCTGCTCTTCAAGGATTACTGCCCGTCAGGAAACGCACGGGCGATCCATTCGTTACATTTTCTGGAGATAAATTATGTCAAATATTTACAGATCTTGTGGGCAAGATCTACAATTCTTTAATTCTTAGAAAAAGAACAAACCTATCTTATAAACTTCAAGATTTACTTTACATTGATCTAAAATTAGATACACTTAAATCTGCGGAAAATAGTTGCATATATTCTGATTGGACGAAATACATTTTTACCTTTTAGCTAGCTCTGTGATTGTTGGATCTTCACTGGTGCAATAAAAGCGAAGTTGTTTCTGACTCCAAGAACTCGGAGAGAATAAACTGAACTGAAAATTTATCGGTAAAACTACCTGCCAAACCTAAATAAATAAGGTGCAAAATGTGCATAGTTTCTGTTAAGCACTCCAACTAAAATACGGAAGCATTGTTATCACTTATCGTGCCTTTAATTAAATAAATGTTAAGAACGCCCGCACTACCCACCTCGTTATAGAATTTATCAGAGAGCACGGTGCCATGTTTGTCATAGAAAAGTACTGACTCCAGCGGGTCGCCAGAAGCACCCCACTTCCCGAAATTAAGACTTAGATCAGAGAGAATAATCTGATCTTTGAGGGTGTTTTCGTCCCCAACTATCTCCCCTAGTATCTTTATCTTATCCTGAGAGTGTGGTTAGGGGTAAGTCTCATTGTTAAAGTGAATCTAAAATAACATGGTCAAATGAATAATCGAGGGAAGGAAGCTCGTCTGTGTAGTATCATTATACCGTATCTCAAAATAAATGCAAAGCAATTTATAATTATTACTACAATCTATAATAACTGCAGGTTACATGAAGAAGTTAAACGAGATTGGTCAAATAACCAACCTTAAAATCTTCGGTTGAGGGAGGGGTTTCAGCGACCATGTTGTATAATCGTCTGGTCCGTAATCGGCCAATCAATTTCTTAGCCTGAAACACCTTATTACTAGAATGAGTATAACAGTTATCTTGCCCAGAAATTCTGGGCAAACATGATGATTGATTCATATGCAATCTTTCAGCATCGCTTGGCTTAAGCACAAACTTACTGAAAGATAAGGCAAGATATAAGATAATCAATGTGTGTTAACTAAAATTTTAGACATCCTCCACTGTTTGACTGATTATCTCTTGAGATCTTTAAAACATCTTTTGATCAACTCAAACCTGATTGAGATGATTAGGACTGTGGTTGCTATGATCCATGTTGGATATGAGGTCCAGAATACAGTCATTTAGTCTCAGATATTTATCTATATGATGGATAGTATCTGATAATAGAGTATCTGGGAATATCACATCGTTACACAGCTTCAAAACATCTCGTATCCTGAAATGAAAAGATCAGCTCAGTGCAGTCTTGACTCTTCTATACCCGGCGAATGTCCTTGCTGTACGGCAGTGTTAAACAAGGAGCTGAAACCGAGGGGTTCCGTTCAGGCCCTTCACACTTTATTTCTGTCTAGTTCTAATGTACCGTCACAATAGTGACTTTAAATATAATTACTGTCGTCGTATTATTATTTATAACTGCAGCTGCTTAAAGCTTGAACATTGAGGAGATAAAAATCGAGGAATATAGAGGAACTCACATGAAGTCGACTGCACCAACAGTGGAATGTTGGTATGCTATCCTCCGTAGATGCATCCTCAAATAAAACATGTTGAACACGTTGTCCTTTTCCTGAACATAAATTCGATTTAAAAACAGGTCGTTCAGTGACGTGTAATTGGTGTACCTCTGAACGTTTCCAGTGTGACAAAGCTGGTAGATTTAATGGCTGTTTGCTTGTTTTCAGATGATATTATTTTCATTATGTTAATTGTAGATTAAATGGACGAGCAATGTCACACATGTTATTATTAGACAGTTAGTGACTATTTATATCTGCCCGTACGCGTGTAACATTACTGCACAGCAGGATGACATAAATGTTAAAAGCAACATACAATACTCTGCAGCTTGCAAGTTATGACGCATAAGATAGATTGCATGCATTATAATACTCGCATGCTACATTCTACTTTCGTTATTAAGTTTGCCAAATCCAACTATAATTACAAATTTACAGTACGTGCGGTAATAATAGATATCACTTTCTGGTACGGTAGCTGAGACATTGGAGCCCTTATAATAGTTTTATTCGAATAGGAGCTTCGCGCGCTACGTAAATACGTAATTTGTCCGTAATTTGCGCCATGAATTGGTACATTGTACGTGATGAGCCTAGATTGCGTTTTTAATAAATACGAATATTTTTGGACTTACTGGATGTGAGGCTCGACTCATAAGTACGTAATCAAGTATCGTATACATGAACTTAATTTTGATTTTTGCTTGATCTATTCATCCAAATTATCCTCCATATGACTTGATTAATGATAAACATGGATGACCTCGTCAGAAAACCTTGAACAATTTTGTTGCAAAATATATTGTTTTATGTCAAAACAAATTCCTTCTTGAAAAGGGATGAAATAATACGGTATTCATTATGGGAAAGCAAGCAAATCAAGGTGTAACATAGCCTAACATTGTACCTTGTCTCTTATAGCAAGGTTTAACATAGCCTAACATTGTACCTTGTCTCTTATAGCAAGGTTTAACATAGCCTAACATTGTACCTTGTCTCTTTTAGCAAGGTTTAACATAGCCTAACATTGTACCTTGTCTCTTATAGTCTTATAGCAAGGTTTAACATAGCCTAACATTGTACCTTGTCTCTTATAGCGATCCTGAATTGGCCATCCTTCTCAACTATCCTCATCATATGTACCAATCTCCTTGAAATTGAGGGGAAAAGTTTATTTACAAAGCTCAGATTATCATAGAGAGAGATAATATCAGATAATATAGAGAGATAATATCAGTCTTAATCATCTCTAAATGAATGAGTCATCATTCAATAATATTCAAATAAGAGATGTCACATTGTCACTACTTTTGCTTTTGGCATACAAATAAATTGTTAAATTAGTACCTCCAGTCAAGAGTGCAGTTAACTCCAAGATAATAACAATCTCTCAGCAAGTAGTCGAACTTATCAACATCTATACCAGTTCGTTCATTTGCCACTATCTGAAATGTTATCTCTTGTCATGCTTTGTTTTAGAGGCGTGGCCGGTGGCGGGGTCGGGTACATTCTTATTGCTTTATGGGGTATTAACATAAGTGATACAATATTAATGGGGTCCATAAGGAATTAATAGAAAAGTTATCGAGTAAGTAAAAGATGATTCACCTCATAGAGAAAACTCTTTTGTTTTGGACGTCCCTTAAACAACCACTCGTGATTCTGTAAGGATGGGATTTCAATATTTTATACGCTAATCTTACTGCGTATAATGCGATTACACTATTAATTGCACGAAGCGCAGCCGAATGCAAATTGATACGATAATCGAACGAGGCGAAGCCGAGTTCCATTATTGCAGTTATTTCACGAGGCGCAGCCGAGTGCAATAGCTGGTGTAATCATTAGATTTGCGTATAACTCCACGCTTCTGGTGCATTTTTTGTCGGTTTTCCTCCTCCAGGCTAAATGAAACTTGTGACCGGACAGGGAGTGCGATTACACTGGCTTTCTGAAAGTCAGTGCTCTCAAAACAGTGCGGTTAGTTTAGTAATCGCACTCCCTGGAAAATACCTACAAAAAACCGGTGCGAAGTAGCCGTCAAATATGTAAAAAGTGGGCTGCTTCAGTGATTGTGTATACGAATAATTCGGACTCAAAATGTCAGTGCAAATTCTACCGATCCAAAAATGCTCTCAACCGTTGACCATCTTTGTTTGGCAGCCATAAATTATCGGCTAATCGGCTGCCATTGACAAAATTTCAACTGTGTTATGAAGTATCACCCCTTCCAATATCAAACGTTTTTGTATACAGAAAGTGGCATGTGTTCGCAGAGCACTCCAAAGTGAATTTATTAACTTCCTTTTTGAGTTTTATATTCATTAATAACGGATAGTTGGCAAATTTTATCATCAAGGAAGTATCCTTGATCTCAGGGCATATTTTTTTGAAAACCCACGATAACTCTCATATCGATAACTCTCATATCAAGCATCCTTAGTGGATCGAACTTTACATGTCTGTGAAGCCACTTTCTACCTGAGCAAATCATCAGGAAAAGCGGTAATGTATCGACATTCGACATTGTGTTACTTTGCATCGGGTGAAAGTAGCTATACGAGAGCTGTGTAACATGAGAATTGATAAACACAACAAGTACAGTAAAAAAGGTTATTAATGAGCTCGTAGTTTACACTTTACAATTTACATAGCAGTACACTAATGTACCTGGTATAATAGCCTAACAATATACTTAGTGTATACTGCTAATAATATACTCACTACTGAGTGTACGTGGTATTTTCTGGCTGTGGAGCATTAACAAGAAGCTTGATGATTACTTATATAGTATATACAACATTGTTATATTTTCAGTGGCTTGAATAATAATAACTGATGATTCGATGTTGATTCAATCTGTCGATGTTCTTGATGATTTTTATAAACTTCTCTCTCTCTCTCTCTCTCTCTCTCTCTCTCTCTCTCTCTCTCTCTCTCTCTCTCTCTCTCTCTCTCTCTCTCTCTCTCTCTCTCTCTCTCTCTCTCTCTCTCTCTCTCTCTCTCTCTCTCTCTCTCTTCTCAGAAACTCAATCACAAATACATCTGCACTCTGCAGTTATTAATATTGTACAACATCACATTGCAGAGGTTCACAAACTTGTATGAGAGTTTTGAGTTTCACCCAAAAAGTTAAAACGACGTGACAATAAGTTCACACAGAACACTATGGAATGTATGGATAATAAAGGCTAGTAAAGGTACACTCTTGTGCTTCTTTAACACATCTTAACACGATGCCAGCTCCTCAGTTACATGTCACACACTGTAGAGTGTCCAGTTCAATCAGTTGCAAGTTTTCTCGTCGTCAAAGAATTTGAAGTGAGAGATAAACCGTTCCGTCACAGTTGCCCCTTCAAAATCTCCTGAGGATTCGTTTCATTTAGTTGAAGAAGATACGCATGGATTGAATTATTCTGTAATACTACGAAATGGTATCCATAAATTTAATCAGTACAACACATAAAATCATAAACTAATGACAAATTTAAAAGCTGACCTAGAATTTCCCATGTCTGTTTCAGTTCCTCCACCAGATCCACAGAGACCGTCTTGTTGAAGAACTTCTCTCCTCGCAGCAGGTCCCAGCGGTTGAATGTTGTTTCGTTCCCTTGCTCACATTCACAGTCCTCTGAGATGTCGGTTTCTTCGTCGTCATCTTCTTTCTTCAGTTCTGGGGCGCAGCCTACGTCAATTTCAGCGACATTTCCTGATTTCTCCTCAAGAAGCATGTCTTCCCATTTTAGATACCTACTTCGTCCGTATTTCTCTTCTACTTCTGAACAAAGACCACTGTCCGCCATTTCTTTCACTTCAGCAGCACTCAGTTCTTTATCAAACAGGTTCACCTTGAACAGTTCCCCACCAAATGGCCAATGAAAGTTCCCTCCGTATGAGGTAAACTCATTGCCTAGCACAATATACCCGTCTAGACCGACCTTTTTACCAGAGGGGGTTGTGATTGATCCTAGAAGTAACCCATCATAGTACACACTAGCTGCTCTAGTAGTGAGACTCCACGTATAGCAGGCATGTCTCCATGTTCCTAGCTGGATAGTTACCTTGCTCCTCGTATCTACCCATGTGCCGAACGTTCGGAAACGTCCGTTATCTTCTGGGCGGATCTCACTGTTATCACTAGATGTTCCGTAAGCAAACCAGAACTTGTCATCACCAGACAGTATCTTCTTCACCCATCCGCACAGCGAGTAGGATTCTCGCACTGGTTCCATTCTTGGCTTGAAAAGAACGTAGTCCTGGTTTGTTGCTCCGAACTTTAATCCCCTGTAGCGTCTTTCTACCAGTCTTTGTCCGGGCTCGTCAGCAGATGACTCCGCAGCGAGGAGTAGTCCGAGTATTGCGAGAAGAGTAGAGAGGCACAACATGGTTAGCAACTGTTCGAATGTGAGATCTCCTCCCGAATACTTGGATTTATAAATAAAATATCACCTGATTGTTGTGTGGCGATAGTTACCGAGTTTTGACTTTCGAGCTGACGATAATCCAGTTGGCAGAGCTCTGATCTACTCAGTGTTATGTTTGGCTATACCAAGCATTATTATTAGCTTATATAGACATAAACAGTAAGCTGTTCATTAGTTCATATAAACAGTTGCAGTTGCTTCTCGATACTCAACTGATTTCGAAATATCATCACAATAATACAGTATCACTATCAATCGGTACATAATAATATGTATAAATTATATAATGTATATTATACTTCTCCACGCAGCACTCCGTGAATATCCACAAAGATAGCTTTAGCCGGGGGTGGATATTGATTTACAGCACGGACCCCCCCCCCCCCCCCCCCAGCCCGCAGCTGCAGTCTGCACGGCCCGAATATTTTACGTATTATTGCGTGTTATTTTACGTATTTGTGCAAATTTCTTAAAAATCTCCATATACAAGCTATTTCTTATTCCTGTCATCTTTGACGTTGAATTAGAATATTTTGAACTAAAAATTAACCTGCTTCGAACGACTTCTGATGAATTAAAATGACGGAAATAATAGTGACTTAGGGGTATTATGGCCGACGGTCGTGCTTGCCAGCTCTGTGATAGGAACTATTTTAATTTTCCCTAGTGTTATTAATTTTTTTATTAAATACTTTTCAAATTTTACAGAGTACAGCAATAGATGAATATAAAATAGAATCGTTCAAAATATCGCCCCCATCTGTAAAATATGATGGGCACCCAAACACGGTAAACACATAGTGAACTATGTCCGCAGTAACTTGGACCCATTACATCGAATTAATCTAAATCCAAAAATTTATGAAAAACTATTTAATAACAAACAAATCCATGGTGAATAACTGTGGATATATAGTCAAAATTGGTATTTCAATACGTCAAATTCCAGATACATTAGATACAGGTCTGATATGGTCATTAATGTGTGAGGTGTGCGGGTGAAGTGTGATATGATGTTGAAAGTATAGGAAGGTAGATAAAAAAATTAATAAAACAAAAATAATAATAATATGGGGAGCAAAGAGACTAGGCTAGGCTGTTGTTTCACTATCCAATAAACATTTCCATAGATGCTTAGTGACCTCAGCTTTGAAAACACTTGTAGACACAATCTGTCTTACCTGTAAAGGGAGTCCATTCCACAGTATATGAGTTCTGTAGAAAAATGATTTTGCCAGTGGGCTATTTGAGGTACATAAGGTGTGTGAATTCTGACTTAACTTAGGTAAAATTGATGACACAATAGACAGACTGTCGAGGTGGCAACGTCTTAGTCGAGAAGTGCCCTGATATAAAGTGAGATAGTGAGGCAGCCATACAGGAATTAAATTGTTCAGAACTTTGTGGAAAAAAATAAGATCATTCAAGTCAAACTTTTGAGACAAAGGGAGAATGTCGACAAGCTTGCACTTTTTGACATATTGCTCAGGTGGATAACTGCGGCCCTCTTCAGACAGAATCCATTTAATAGCTCTCTTTTGGAGACTTTCTAATTTATCACTAAGTGATTTATTACAAGGGCGCCAGATTATGGAACAATTTTCGAATTGGCTACGAACCAGGGAGAGGTAAAGCGCCCGGCGACGTTTCTGATCAATGACAATATGGCCATCTCTTCTGACCATACCAAGTTGTTGGCAGGCCTTAGTATAAATTCTGTCGCACTGACTATTCCAACTGAGCTTAGGAGTAACATCGACTCCAAGATCTTTTTCTAACTCTACATACACAAGAGGAGAGCCATCAAGATTATATGCGAATGGAGGAGATAAAGATGGTTTTCCTGAAACAATAAGCACTTTACATTTTGCTGGATGGAATCGCATTTTGTTTCTAAGTGCCCAGTCAGAGAGATAGTCTATATCCATTTGTAAATTGGTATTATCAGAAGATGAATGTATTTTACGCCAGATTTTTGTATCATCGGCATACAAAACAATATCAGTATTATCCGAAAGGCCAAGAGGAATATCATTGATAAACAATACAAAAAGTAAGGGACCAAGGATAGAGCCCTGGGGGACACCAGAATTAACTGAGAGGGTAGATGACATCTCATTACCAATAACCACTCTTTGGTAACGGCCTTGAAGGTAATTGGTAAGAAATTTGAGAAGTGTACCATCAATGTTATATAAGGTCTTTAGCTTATGAAGAAGGATATCATGATTTACAGAATCAAATGCCTTAGCAAAATCAAAATACACAACATGATTGATAATGTTTTCGTTAAGAGACAATGCCAGGCTATCACAAAAATCAACCATATTGGTTGTGCATGACTTGTGCTCTAGAAAACCATGCTGCCTGGGATCAAGAAGGGTACTTGTCAAAGAAAGCAGTTTACGTTTAACAATGCGCTCAAAAACTTTCATGACTAAACAAGTAAGGGATATTGGTCTATAGTTTTCAACCTCACTTTTCTTACCTTTCTTAAATATTGGGACAACATTTGCAAGTTTCCATTCTTGTGGAATGTAGCCGCTGTTGTAGGATCCACGAAAAATGCATGTTAGAGGGTAAGCTAAACCTACGGAACAATTTTTTAGAATTTTACCGTGTATGCCATCTGGTCCCTGGGCTTTATTTGAATTAATATTTGAAAGAAGCTTACGAACATCCCGATGATCGAAGTCAATATCAAAATCAACATCATTGACATAGGAGATGTCAGTGTCATAAAGTGAAGGATCCGAAAACTGGTTATAAAAGAAAGAATTGAAAAGTTCAGCTTGATCTTTGGGATTGAACCGAAGCTGTCCAGAATAACTAACACAATTAGGAATACGGCAGGAGTTAGATTTATACTTAACATGTGACCAAAACTTCTTAGTTATAAGCGCTGGATCATCACTATTAAAAAGATTATCTCTTATTTTGGCTGATGAGAGCCTCTTAAAATCTTTACGGCTAGTAACAAACTTTAACTAATCAGAAATAGAACCAGAAATTTTAAATTTAGCTCTGAGTCTATCTTTTTTACGGCATGAAGAAAAAAGTTCACTATCGAACCACGGGGGTTGGAACTCTGATTTAATAATTACTTTAGGAATATGTATATCAACTAAATTCATAATGCAGTCTTTAACTAACTTCCAAGACGAATCAGGATCTAGGCATTCTAGGACTTGCCAATTAATCGAGCATAATTCACGATTAATCATGTCCCAGTTTGCTTTCTTAAAATTATAGATTTTACGTTTAGGAGTTTTCTTACGGGAAAAGGAGCTTTTAATTGAAAAAGTGACAGGAAAATGATCAGATTTGCACACGGAATGAGGATCACAGACATTCAAGTTATCGATTGTGTTATCATAATTACTGAGAAGAATGTCTAATGTATTACCACTTTTATGGGTGGGTGATGTGATCAACTGGGAGAGAGAAAGATCACTGAAAGAATCTATGAAGGATTGCTCAATAGGTACGGTACTGGATGAAGATAGCCAGTCTGTATGGGGGAGATTAAAATCACCAATAACATAGATTTTAGGGGGATTCTTTTTGGAAACTAGCTTGCGAATATAACTAACTATGACATCATGATTAGGTAACCCAAGAGTTCCTACTCTATAACAAGTACAGATTACAATACTCTCTTTGTTAGGAAAAGAAATTTTAACGGCAAGCATTTCTGCACCTAGGCTAACTGGTAGTCGGGTTGTAGTGGCGTCGAGATCAGACCGAACAGCCAAAAGAACACCACCTCCATTTTCCCTAAACTTTTTAGGGTTATTAGGATCTTGAGGATGAGTCTTTCTCGTGCGGTCATTGCGGAAGATTTCATATTGAGAAGAAGGAAAGATTTCGTTGCTAGAAATAGATTTTTTGAGCCAAGTCTCATTTAGGGCAATTATGTCAGGCTGCTCTATGTTAGCAAAGGATTGAAGTTCGGAAATCTTATTACCATCAAGAAGGGGATGGGAGGAGCTTAGGTTACTGAAAGGAATGAGACCTTGGACATTTTGGTAGAGTACAGATAGGGAGTTGGGACCTGGATTAAGCATAGAAGGATTAACAAGAGTTATCAAAAGAAAGTTAAGAGAGAAAACCCAAAGAATGAATAAAGAGACTAGACGCCTGAGGCGGCTGGAATACTTGACTCTATTCATCTTACCAGGGAGAAGAACATTTCTTATAAACCATGAGGAGATAATTACAAAGAAAAGTTTGATGTGGGAGCAAGCAAGAAATGGTATAAGATAACGTGGGCTGTCAAGGAGTAGAGAGGAATGAATATTAGAATCTAGGGGGAATACGGTGTTCATGGACCTAACCGTGGAGAGAAAAATTGGGAGAAAGTAAGTCATGATGAGAGAATAGAAGAGAAACATATGATTATGATAATTGTAGTTGATGTGTGGGGTGTATGGAGACTTAAATGTGTAAATTTTGTTAGGTATAAACGTGTTGATATGTATAAGTGCATTTCTTGACTGTGTACGAGGCCTTTTGCATGCAAAAAGACCTATTCTAAGTCTAAACGATTCATTGTCTAACATATTGGAAAATGGACAGTGACCGAATGTACCTGAAAAGGGAGGCATAAAATTGAGAAAAAGATTAAATCAGAGATTTGTTTGAGTTTTAATTTTAGGCGCAACGTCTTAATCAAAATATTAAATGGAAGAAAGAAGATCAAAGATTTAAATTCCCAGAAGATTATTTACAACCCTGTCAAAACTGTGTTCGTTTACAACAAACTTAAGCCAAGTGGACAGTAAACCTACTCCTCTCATGTTGAGATGAAGCCAATCATGGTATAGAAGTTCATTACATGATCTAAAGTCTCGAGTTAAAAAGACTGAGAAACAGTCTAAGAACACGCAATTATTATTTAGGCATAAGTCTTTAAGTAGATTATTAAAATCTAGAACATTCTTTGCTATGTAGGAATATAAACATTTAATAGGAAGACAACATTGGATAATTATAATTGCAGCGGGAAATAACTGCTTAGTGGTGTCAATTAATTCAGTAAGATACTTCCTAAGGAACTGAACCCCATACTTAGAATGTTTAATGTCATTTGTACCAACACTCAATATAATTTTTTCAATATCGTCAGCTTCTGCAGCTGCATGAGTTTTATGAAAATTATGAATGTTTTCAGTGATGTCTCTAATTTTTGCACCACTTTGAGACACATTGATTACTTTCCTTCCCCGGAATCCCAACTTATTTGTCCGTACGAATTTTGTCATTGACGTACCAAACAGGACAGTGGTTTTCCTGCTCTTCGGTTTTCTTGGAGTATTTCGGTAGTAAAGGGTTGGTGTTGAGGTGGTGGTGGGCGGCATAGGAATTGTAGTGCGGGCAATCTGCTCCTTGACTACATTTGTATCTGTCTTCGGTATCTGGCAGCGAAAAGATAAGCTATACCGAGTCCCCTTAACTGAGCTCTCTGCACGAACCTTGTGAAGACAATATTCCTGACACCCCGGTTTCATAATATACAAACTACAGTCCTTTGGGGTGATATAGCATTTACTGTTACATCGCTTATCCCCATTTTCTGGAATTATGTCGATGGTCCTCTCAGCTCCAAATGAAACTACATAAATACCTTGCGACTGGTCAAGAGACACCTCGTCGTCGTTGTGGTACCTAGTTGCACAAGAACCAGACTTGTACATGCTTGCTAGGCATGAGTTTAGCTTGCAGCCAAACTTGGAGTTGATATCATGCATAAGCTCTGATATCCCAGGATAATTTAAAATATCGATTGGCTCCTTAGTCGTGGTGTGTCCATTTGAGGAAGACCATACATATTCTTCTCCAGTCGAAGTGAGCCACTTTGTGGCAGTTTTCACAGCAGTTTGCTTGGCCATAAATTTTAATTATTATATTTATATACATGTTTAAATTGACTGTAACTAAACATTTTAAGGTGTTAGTGCCGAGTACTGCCTCAGGTTAGGTTAGTACTCCTCAATTAATTAAATCACTCACATTATTAGACTTGAAATCCTTGGCGTTAATTAGCTCTTTTATAAAGATAATATCTATATCTGTCAGGCCAGCATCTTTTAGTGATTTTGCTACTTCCTCGTGGGTTTTCAGGATGTGATCTGAAATGTGTTATGTGTAAGTTGAAACTAAAACCTCTACTCTATAATGAACAAGACAAATATAATAATAAAACCTTCGATTTCGCCGCCGCTTTCATAGCGTTATATTCAAGGAAATCAGGAAACCAGGAAATGGTCCTCGTTATGTAAATAAAGAATGTAAATGTTTCATTACCAAATATTCTACAGGATTGCAGTTCGTGTGACCACTCAGCAGATGATATCTCTTGAATGAAAGAGTTGTCAAACAGATGAGAGAATGGTCCGTGTCCAACATCGTGCAGTAATCCAGCAACCTGGATAGAGTTCCATTTCAATTTACAAGTAGCAGTTAAAAAAGGAATCGTCTCTGAATTGTTGATATAAATGAGAAATACGATGCTTCATTTCATTAAGTTTCTAACTGTATAGAACTATGTGGTCCAAAGAACCCCCCCCCCCCCCCCCCCCCCCATTATTTAACAGTTACCTGTACACAGAGCTTATCTACAGGAGTAATAGTAGCATGTTGTGACAGTTTGTCAATAACTTGTCCTGCCAGGTGACAAACACCAATACTGTGTTCAAACCTCGTGTGTGTCGCTCCTATAAGGTTACCATGGTTACCAGGGAAACAACATGGTTACCAGGGAAACAACATGGTTGTCAAGGAAACAACATGGTTACAGGGAAACAACATGGTTGCCAGGGAAACAACATGGTTGCCAGGGAAACAACATGGTAACCAGGGAAACAACATGGTAACCAGGGAAACAACATGGTTACAGGGAAACAACATGGTTGCCAGGGAAACAACATGGTTACCAGGGAAACAACATGGTTGCCAGGGAAACAACATGGTTGCCAGGGACACAACATGGTTGCCAGGGAAACAACATGGTTGCCAGGGAAATAACATGGTTGCCAGGGAAACAACATAGTTGCCAGGGAAACAACATGGTTACCAGGGAAACAACATGGTTGCCAGGGAAACAACATGGTTGCCAGGGAAACAACATGGTTACCAGGGAAACAACATGGTTACCAGGGAAACAACATGGTTACCAGGGAAACAACATGGTTACCAGGGAAACAACATGGTTGCCAGGGAAACAACATGGTTACCAGGGAAACAACATGGTTACCATGACCAGGCAAACAACGTGGTTTCCAGGGAAACAGCATGGTTAAAAAGTTCAAATCAATTTGTTTTAAGCTAATATATAAACAATCTTACTATATATAAAGCGAGACGGTATATATATATTTAATACTTTCAACACTACTATATAACAAATAATTTGAGAATTGATGTAAATAAACGATGCAAAGACTTTCGAAGATCTAATCACAACCGCTTTCTTTTATTGTGTAGAAGTCCAGCCATGAAATATATATATATTTATCCGTGCCATTTTACTGACACCACGGCATCAACTTTAACAAGACTTTCCGCAAAAACCGTAAAAGATATACAACTGAAACTTTTTTGACTGGGTCAAATGCTTTAATGGCCTTCAAATCAGCATGAAAAAATAAAAAATTGGCCAAGAAATAGGAGTTTTAGAGTCCAAAATTTGGACCCCCAAGTGGTGTCAAAAACGCGAATTAAATAGGTAATAATTATTTTAGTCTCTTGAGTCTTGACACCACTTTAGGGTTAGACGGGTTCCTTTTTTCTTTTTTTTTTAGAGAGGCTGGGCCATGATAGCCCACGAGAGGATAGCATTGAGATGCTCTGCGGGTTCCTGCTAGTCATAATAATTGCACAAACATCTCTCTCTGTGATGATTCTTTTAAAGTCGCCTAGTTTCCTATTTATAGATTTTTATAAACCTGGATACACGAAACACACTGCTCCAGTCTGTTTGATATTTCTGAGTCTCTGGAATGCAGGAGTATCTATAATACCCACCAGCACTCTGTTCAGTTCCATAGTCCCATGTATCGGATCATTGAATATGTATGTCATGGTGTTATCTGTGGGTATTAGTTTTATATGTTGTGGCCATTTCTGATAATGACAATACACACAGTACATCGAACCAATTAATTTCATTAAACCACAACTTCGCTTATAGAAGATCATGCGACAGTGTAGAAAATTGGATTATTTATTAAGTTCGTATACTACAAATCTCATGTACAAGTATACTAATTGTACATGAGATTTGTATCAGGGTTTTTGAGTTGCAACTAGTCATCTCCCTCCATAAAACAGGTGGTTGAGAAAACGAATTAAACACCAGTGAATCGTGATACAACTAAATTACAATTTAAAATATAAGGTACAACGTATAGGAAAATAAGCGAGAAAGAAGAAAGTAAAAAGGTTATTGTAATATCTGGGTATGATATTACAATCACCTTAAAGTAGGCCCAAGATACAACAAGAATTGCATACAAAAATGTTAAGAATGTGTTTGGACAGCTTGAAAGTACAGTAACTTAGCAATGATATCGAACACATTTTCGAGTCTTTAAAGTTCAAACACATCCTTCATTCTAGAACTCAGAAAATTCCGTTTCAGGAAATAATGTATATCGTAGTGAATGCGAAAAAAAAGGTTAAATTCAAGTAAACTACGTACTATAAGTTAAAATATGGTGCTAAACATATTAAGATCAAGTAAGAAAAATGTTCATAGTACGCGCATCGAAAATATAAAAGGAATATTTTCATATCGAATTGATTAGGTATTAGTATTACAATATCCATAAATAGAACCAGAATGGGCAGTGACAGCTAAGTTTTCTGAGTTAAATACTTTAATGGCCCAAGCGCAAGCTTAGCTACAAAAAATTTTTCTACCAGTTGATTTGTTGGACAAAAAAGGAGGATAAGATTTTGCCGATTATATAGACATTATTAGACATAGTAGACAGATAAAACCAGGAATCATAATTATGATGTCAAGCGTGAAAGCCCTTTTTGGATCTGGATGAGGATTGCAAACTATTCATTTTCTAAAATTAAGTTCGAACGAAATCTTAAGAAACATACCAGGTTACAAATATAATATGTCATATAATTTAAAATACAGAGATAAAAATAAAAATAGGGATTCCGTAAGTAATCCTGCAAACGTTTGAGCTTATTTTTCTGTCATTTTACCTCCAATACAAGTAATTTCTGTGACAACAATAATTCGAGTATAAGGTTTCAAAAATGGTTCATGAACTTCGTGCTATCACAAAATTTCTAATATGTATAGAATTTCGGATATCTGTGCAGAAAGACACTGGTCAATGGTCATGGTAATTGAAGTTTTTCTATATAATAACCTGTCGATTGATCGATTTTGTGCGAAAGGATTATTGTAATTATACTTCAGTCAAGTTTGTGGTCAAATACACCAAAAATAGCGCACAATAAACCCAAACTTTTGCAGAATAACTTTTGGAACACCCTTTATGTACTGGATACAACATCTAAAAAGAGCAAGCGAAAGTCTTGATTAAAACAGATACAACAAAATGTTGGTAAATATGCTTATGTAGCATCAGCGCTCAATAACTATGTGCAAGTTTACCTGAAATAATCGATTGATAATCATACAACTTTTCGTTGAATTTTTTGAATTTATAGGTTAAAAGTTTCATTCGTACATTGCACATAGTTATATTAACGCAACAATATAACCGTCAAGAAGTAAGTTTATAATTAAATAAACTATAATTGGCGTTAACAAACTTTCTATAATTGAGTTAATGATGTATATATAATTTAGTTACGTTTGCAACTACTTAAAAATGAGTAAAAGTACTAATATAGCATCAACTAATGTATACTCGGATAGAAATATGATATTATGTGTTAACATACAGGGTGGGCCAAAAGTCAGTACCCATACACATTAATAGCTCCGCCGTGTTTTATATTTGAGAGCTGTTGCTTTGCAGATGGCATACTGTACTTACTGGTTCGAGGATTCCGTCGTCAAAATTTGAAAATTCGAATATTTTAGACCACGCCCATTCAATATTAAAACACCTATATTGTTTTCTGTGAAGATACTGAACGCCTGATTTTTTCAAAGACGGTAGATTATCAAATGTTACATATGATCTGAAAATATGAGGCAAAACGGATTAGAAATGACGAAGTTATCTAGCATTTTCTGTATCTCGTAAACAATATTGACTGGGTGATTATGTGACACCGTAACACGACACCTTAATTGGGCACCCTTAACAATTCCCATAATGTTTAACGGGGTAGTTAACGGGGGCACCTTATCACGTGATTAGGTAAACCAATCACCTGATCACACGTAATGAATAAACTCGTTATGCTTCATATCTCGGTCATCTGAGAAGCTACAGTTCTAATTCTTTCAGGACAAACGTAATTCGAATGGCCAAACCCAATTCAATAACATTTAGCTTGATCCGACTATCCAAACTATCAAATAAATGTGAAAATGAACCTCCATTTGAAAAAAATGAACGCGAATATTTTTCGAGTTGACAAATTCCTCGAACCAGTGGTGGTACTAAGTCATACCAGAAAGAAGTATTCAAATTGGGCACTCAGTGACTGAGCTATAAAGGCCAACGTATGGGTACTGACTTTTGGCCCACCCTGTATATCTTACAATACTTGAGATTGGTGATCAAACATTCATGAACATTGCATGATATTAGGATAAGGTTAGGCATTGTTAAAATAAAAAAGTGGTTGGCTCAATGTCTGAATTGGTTTGCTCTCTGCAATTTTCTGATAAATTATTTTGGTATTGCATGAATTCACAATAAATCTCTAGCTAGTTTTATGCCAAACGTAAGTCAGAACTAGCAAGTAATTTTATTCAATTAATGTAAATATCGAACAAATTTTTGGTTTTTGCCTTTTGGTAATTATTTTATCTTGGCAGCTTGGCATGAAACGGAAGTTTAAATGATCCTTGAATTGAGAGAGCGTAGTGAACTGTGCTGGTGAAACAAAAATTGAGCCATTCACGATTTTTAATAAAAGTATTATAATTAAATATTGCATTGCTTATCTAAACCTCCTATTATAAAGTTACGTTATTACATGCATTTCGAACGAAATGATCCGCTTTTGTAAGAAAGTAGAAACATGATAGTTATCAGAATTAAAATCTGTATTGAATATACTGCAGCGGATCATCTCGAATAATATGTTGTGAAAACCATCAAATAAGAAGTAATCCCAAAGCTGAGGTTGGCCAAGAGTTCAGAGTAGTTTATAATATTTTTAAAAGTTCTTTGCAGTTTGCACAGAAATATGATTTTTCAAAACAACTCTGGAATTACAACTAGTAATACTGTAAGATATTTTAGTGAAAATTGATAGGTGATAAGTGATAAGTGGTAGATGATATCAGGTGATAGATGATATGTGATAGATGATATGTGATAGATGATATGTTATAAGTGATATGTAATAAGTGATAAGTGATATGTAATAATATGTGATAAGTGATATGTAATGGGTGATAGTAATAGTTCATTGGTGATAGTGATAGGTCATTGGTGATAGTGATAGTTCATTGGTGATTGTGATAGTTCATTGGTGATAGTGATAGGTGATAGTTGGTAGATGATTATATGTGATACGTGAGCTGTGTAATTTAATAATGTATAAGAAATAAACTATACAATTTGAATATATATATACAGAGCTACGTTCCAGATAAATTTTAAAAAGTAAATAAGACAAAGATTGGAAGAATTATTGGCCCATATTACCGGGCACTCGTCAAAATGTGATTGTGTGCTCTTTTGGTCACCGCATTATACCAATTAATAATGAATAAGCTAATAACTTAATCGGATACGAATCATAAAATTGTACAGCTAGATTAAATAAGATGGTTCAATAGATGGAAGCTGAAGCGTTAGAAGACACTTGAAAGGAGTTGTCCTGCTCTCCAGTGAAGTAGTAAGGGTCTTGGATCTGTTGTCGGCATTTCCTCTTTGCTAGACAACTGTTGATGATTTGTCTTGCTTGTCGGTGGCCTGTAAACCAATCCCTCTGAACCTGGTTGATACATGGTTAAACATACAATCAGCTCCAAAATAAAATGATACATCATTCGAATTGTGTTCGACACTCAAAGGTTATAGTATTTGAGTCCATCGCTGCATAGGGCTTTTTAATTTTTCCGCTGACTAGTGATTACTTGATAAGTTAATATCCTGGCTGTCTTTTATATTTCTATGAATATAACTACTTTTCTATTCTGTTTAGAAAAGGACAAATTATAAAAAATTTATCAGATTCCTATCCTCCTGAACTCTAATAAAATAGTAACCAGTTCACTGTAGCGCACTATTCCCTCCACTTTGTAGAGCTGAAGAGGCCGTCTAGCCCTAGAGTTTTGTGTCTGACGGAACATGTCATCTACCATGGAGTCCTGCAAGGTATATCATTTTTAGAGAAAATGCTAGATGATTATTATGCACTAATTAACATAACTATACACAAATCTAAAGAGAGTGATTAAAATCAGGGGGTTACAGTGTACAATGTAAATCACACAGTTATTCAATAAACACTAAGTCTAAAGCTTGTTTCATCAATCTTACATATTTCTGGTATTCTTCGGAGTTGACGTCAACATGAGCATTGTAATCTAGCTGCTTAAGTATTTCTGTTTTCTTTTTGTTCACACCTATCATTATCTGTAGTACAATTCTTGACAATTCATGACATTGGAAGATTTCTGGATTTTCATTGCACAGCAACAACTGGATAACATATCGCTCCACCATCATGTGAAAGATCTCACTACTGAAGTCCTCCAACATGTCTACAGCTAGACCCCTGAGTTATCAAAATATCAAGGGAAAGTATCATTCACAACAAATAAACAACATAACATCAAGAATGCAGTCTTTTTCAGCAATTTAAGTTTATCAAACAATTAATGAATTATGCATCTTTGTGTTGACATTAAGGTCGTTTTTATAAATTTCATTAATCCGACAAGGACTGTGTTAAATGATTTGAGTAAAAAAAACTTACAGAAATGCTAGGACATCCAAGTCTTCAAGAGACTGTGTATTTGTTTGCTTCATGTAAACCAGTGCATGGACCAAAATGTACTGAAAAAGCGATTCATTATTAACGAAATGAATTTATTTAACTCATGCAAGTGATCTACAAGAGATTGGAGGATACATAACCAAATGATATTCTGTAATTAACACTTAAAATGGATTAGTTAGGTAAGATTAAAGATTGTCTCCAACTTTCATTAGGAGTGATTATGTCAGAGATTACTAAGCAAGTTGTGCTTCAAAAAGGACAAAAATCGTGTATTCAGAGAATATTTCTAAGTGTATTATATTATAACATTAAAGGTGAATATTACATCAAAAGTTGGTAACATTTAAAATGAATTTCGGTGAAAATGAATTAAAAAGTGAAAATGAATTTTGATGAAAATGGATTAAAGTGAACCTGGTCAGAGTAATGTTTGTAACGATCAGCATCAAGTACACCTTTAATAGTTGGGCCTATTGTGATTAATTGTGAAGTGAAGTGTTAGCCTTTGTGAGGTGTTAATTAATGCTGTGTGAGGTGTTAGAGGTGTTAGGGATGATTTCCACAGATTTTAAATTAATGAAAATGGAATGACTTTAATTTCTGATATTATATGTTGCAATTTAAAAGTTCTCTCAAAGCGCAATTCGATGTGAATGAAATGATGGGGGATTGGATGAAACATGGTTGTTTGGCTTCCATGAAGCTTTTTTGGGATGGTATTAATATTCTTACGTGAAAGTATACAGTGGAGAAGCTGCTTCATCCGAGTCTCAGAGCTCATCTTCAGTGGAGTTAAGTGACATTGTAAACCAATTCTTCGCTGACTGTGTTGATATGGAGTGTAAAATGTTTCGGAGTTTGACGGACAGTTCTGTGGTAAACACATGTTGCGTGTTTTGTCGTATTTCCCTTTAAACTGGTGGAATTGACTGACATTTCTGCTTTCGATTTTAGCCATTTTTCCTGTGATGTTATTATAAACTTTATTGAACAGATCATGTCCAAAAGAAACATAAATACAAGTATGCAATACACAAAACGATCCAAAGACTATCAACATTACACTTAACTTAATCAGTTATTTCGTCACCCAATCAATGATCTCATGGGCTATTGGCTAGCGTGCAACAATGAGCCTTATTAGGCGGTACCAAGCATGCTGGGGGATGATGATCTGATCACGAGTGAATACTGATAGTGAGTTTCCTTAATATCAGAGAAATTCACATTATAGCATTTCAGTAGCTGTCCTATAAGCATTTTCCAACCAATCTGGCCATTGATCACTGATTAAGTGCCGTGATCATGCATCTGCCGGATCTTAAAATGGTCATAACATTTGTTATGTGGCTAAAGATACAAATTTGCATGCTATGAAGCAAAAAGTGTGCTTTTTAGCAATCATCTATACATTTATATTTGATTTATTTTAATACATCAGTTGCAATTTAATACATTCTTACAACGCAGCATTACCATGTATGATCCATATCGCATTTATTGAATAAACATTTTGAGTTTCTCGGGTAATTAATCCAGATATACTGTCGATTGCAACACAAGATGGGAGAAATAGGATGTATATACATCCTAGTATACATACTATTCAGAGAATAATGCTATAATTTATACATTATAGTACAACACAATGTATGTCAATATGAACTACAAGGTACCCTTGCAAAAAACATTATCCATCTAATAATAGTGATTTTATTTATTTATAAGTACGTATGACATTTATTAATTAACTCTCTGGAAGTGATATTGACTTTGTGCCCTCTCAGTCAGATTTAGGAGTCGCAATAAACTCCAGGTTTAATTGGGGTGCACAATGTAAAGCGCTTGTTTCCAAAGCTACCTCCAGACTTGGACTACTTTGCTACAGAGCAAAAGAAGCTAAATATTCTCCCTGTCATGCAGAAGTTTATTTATAACGATCTTATGACCTTCTATAAAATAGTGAATAGCATAATCCCAGTTTCGCTTCCTACTTATATAGTCCTATGCCGTCCAGAGGGCACCCGATACACTAGGCACAATGCTCAAATAATTGATAGGTCGGATACTTCAACTTACATGAGTACCACTGTGCCCTGCTCGGATGCCTTCCGAAATAGCTTCTTTTATAGATCTATGCTGAAATGGAATAGTCTACCAGTATGTATCCGGCAGTCAGAGCGGATTTCTACTTTTAAGGCCAATCTGATCAAGTACCTCTGGGCTGCCGATACAGTCTGGCCAGACTAGTCTCAGAAATGTGTTTTTGTTGGTTACAATTCTGTCCGTCCAATTTCCTATCTGCTTGTCCTTCTTTTTCTTCTAACAGTTGTGACGGAATTGTAATGAACAAAATCCATATATAATTATTTATGATATGTTTGATTTCTTGTTATTGTATGTCATTCAAATTTGGTAGACGGCCCCAACGTTAATGTGGCTTTTGCTATGTGTTGGTTCAGCCGAATTAATTATTATGTAATCAAGTTTATTTTTCTCTTTTAGTTAGTTGTCATCCGGCCAAACATTAAGCAACTTATATTGCAGCACCATTTTTCTATTAGAATATTAAAATATGTCATTGTAATTTTGCATGGCTGAAATGAAACGCTTGATTTGTATATGTAATAATTAAAAAATTAACTTCGTATGTGTCGTTACTCGCCACTTAAACGGTATTTAGTAAGAACATTTTAAGGTAGAACATTTGAATATAATTTGAAACATTACAGAAATGTTGTACAAATCGCTCAAACACACACTAGGTTTTAATTCGGTAAAATTCCATTCGAAAATTACATGATCCTCAAAATGTAGGTGTCTAATGAAAATGTGATACTGTGTGACAAAGTTAAGAATGTCGTAGTGAAAGAGAGTTAACTGTCGATAAATTCATGTGAGGTACTATCGAAGTTCAAAATGTTGTGATGGGTGATCGACATGATAATGACTGATAAGAAAAAGTTTTATGAAACAGTTGTGGTGTTTATATATATTAGGGTATGTTATATCAGGTTCCTCTGATATGATTTAATATTTTTTATATCTATAGCTATATTTTTTCATTTAATATGTTCGTTTTTGATAGTAAACCAATTTTGTAACCTCATGGTATACAAAAATTGAAAATCAAGCCAATTTGAGAGACTTTACACATAACAAACATGCATTGCGTTATTGTAATCAAATGTTAATTTAATTTAAATTAATTCTCAACGTCTAGGATCTGAATTCTATGTTAAAGAGTCCACTAAGCCTCTATTCACAAAACATGAATTACTTGTTACAGAGAACCTGTACAGATACCGTTGTTTAATGGAATTGTTTAAGATCATTAAGTCACGAGTACCAATTTCGTTATACTACTTATTCAACATATCAAATAGGAAAGATAATCTGTTCATTACACCCTCTCCAACTAATCAATTTATTTATAAATCTGCGTGGCTGTGGAACAAATTTCGTAAAGTTGGCCCGTTAAATTTCACCTCCACATGCAGATCTGTCAAGAATTTACTTAAACAGTCACTTCTAAGAGCTCAAAACCGGTATGGAACTGAGTGGTGTGACAGAAATTTCACTGAATTCTGATTAAGAAGTGATATTCATTTGCCTGTTATTCCCACCTAAGCACTTACTGACTGACAAGCTTATCTATGAGTACCATGCTTGAATTTAGGTAAACAACATACAACTCATTTCCCAGTTACGCTGAGCGCAACCGCCGAATGACACAGCAATATGGGAACGCGCATAGCATTGCGCGCCGATGCTGTGCGCGTTGTCGGCCGAAACTTGGGAAGTTCCCGCTCTAATATTCAGACGACAGTGATGACTCATTAAGAGCACTAATTTCGACCACTTTCCCGGTCGAACCATACCAAATCAAACTAATTGACCCACGTGTATAGCCAATGTCCTGGCGGTGCTGAGCCGATGTAAAACTCTTCTGTAAACTCTTTTGTCTCTTGTAACTTGTTTATATTTTATATTTTAGTTATACTGTGTACTGTGTACAATAGTTATAGCGTATAGTGTGTAGTGTGTAGTGGTTATTTTGTTGTAACGTGTCACTTTATATTTTGCTACCAACGTCAGCCTTGACTTACCATTTATTGTAATTGGTACAGCATGGCATATATCAAAACTAAAACACTGTTTTCGATCTGACGGGTGATGGGCTCTCTCTGATGGGACATAGTTCTAGGGGGTACCCGGGGTACGAGTTAACGAATAGTGTTCGTGTCCTTCCACAATCTCCTCTCATTGTGTTTTTGACGGAGGAGGAGCCTAGTTCATCCGTCTGCATCGCTTAATTGAGTTAAAAATTTAGCCAATAACAAACTAAATTACATGTTATACTGATATCAGATGTAGAGTTTATAACATACTAATTCTAAATTTTTTACGGCTGACGATGGTAAGTCGCTACGTTTAATTTGGGACTTTTATAGTCTTAAGTCTTGGAGCTCAAAATGTCTCGTACTGTGGGCCGTATAAACGGCGCACACCACCGCCCCGCCTTACTGCTTACATTACTTCATGGTTGCGGGGCGGAGCCGGTGCCGTTTGTCTTGGCCTCGAGTGGCGAGTGCTTGCCCATCGAATACACGATTGAAACACTAATTATTTATTGGCATTCTACAGTTTCCAAAACGAAGTACGAAGATATATTAACTTTGAGCTTTGTTTTGGGGACTGCTTCATCGATGGGCGAGTAGGTATTTGTTGTTTAGCAGTGTTGAATATTGGAGCAATTATATAATGTATATCTCCATCATAATATAGGCTAGTGTAAACATATATAATCAATAATGCAAACAAATGGTATTAGTAACTCGCTAGATTATAGATGTTATTTAAACACATATGTTTACGTCAATTATTACTAAAATTAATATTCTTTTTGTTATATCATTATTTATAACAATGCTCTTATTTAGGACAGGATGTCAAGTTTCGTTTCCACCTAGTGGTGAGTTTGTATGTTTTCGAGTACTATGTTTTAGAGTACTATTATTATTATTAGCCGTTTTATAAATCCCGTTTTATGATGCATTCTTGACTATTGAGCAATGAATATTGGATTATGTATTTCTAATACGTTTTCTATTTCAGATTGTTATAACTGTCATTTGGTCGTTTTATTGCATTAAACATTGGTAGCAGTGTGCAATATACGAAACGACGATGACGAGGAAAGCCAACACACCTAAGTTCTGTGGTGAGAACTATAAGCAATACAAGAAACTCGTCCAACTGTGGGAGAAAGTCACCGACATCTCAGAAGATGATAGAGGAGCCGCCCTTGTTCTTAACATGTCCGGAAGTGCCTTAGACATTGCATTGGCAATTGATAGCACCAAAACAAAGGTTAGCGACCTGATCGCCATTCTTGACGGAGTGTATGTTGAAGAGAACAATCTATCGTTGAAATTCGATGAATTTGATCAGATGAAGAGGGAAAAAGACAAGAATATAAAGGAATTCATCCATGTGTATGAGCAAAAGCTCAATGAGCTGAAGGCCGAGAAACTTGTACTCCCTGATCTCGTTGTGGCGAATAAGCTTTTAACAGCAGCTAACCTATCCCCTAATCGGTACCTTCTGGCTAAATCGACATGTCAGACTATGTCCCTTGCAGAAGCAAAAGCTGCCTTATTAAGAGTATCTGATAACGGGCCAAGCCAAGCTCAAGCAACCAATAACCTCATCAAGGTAAAGCAAGAAGTTCTGGAAAGTGATGATGCAATTTTCTATAATGGAGAGAATAGTAGTTATGAAGAAGATGAGATTTATTTTCAAAGTGGGAACCGCTTTAGGCGCAATCCTTATAATAACAAAAACCAGGGAAATAAAAGACCTCAGTGTTATGGCTGCGGTGATACATCCCATTGGCTAAGAGACTGCCCAAAGAACAAACAAAGGTATCAGAACTCCAACAGAAATGATGTTAACAGACAGTGTTACGGGTGTGGAGACAGAACACACTGGATAAAAGATTGTCCATTTATCCGTGATATCCAAAGTCTTATCAGAAACCGCAACACGATCCCCAATCAGCAGGGTAGACAGACATACTTTTCAGAAGAAAATGATGAACAAGGATCGCATTTTAACGATTCAGACAAGCAAAATCATGACCTCCCCGAGAAACCCATATTTTTCCAATCTAATGTTGGCAATGAGCTAGAAGAAATATGGCTAGTTGGAGAAACGGTCAACAAGGCCGTCCTAGACTCAGGTGCTTGCAAAACTGTATGCGGAAAAGAATGGTTCACATGTTATGTTGATAGTCTAAATCAGAAAGTTCGTGATGAAATGAAAGAATTCCATTCACAGACTATATTCAAATTCGGAGTTGGAAAACTCAAGGCAATGAAAATGGTTCATCTGCCAGTAGAAATGTGTGGAGAAAAGATAATCCTTGAAGTTCATGTTGTTGACACCGATATTCCACTGCTTCTTTCATTGAAGACTATGAAAAACCTAGGACTAAGGATCAACTTTGAAAAAGATCAAGTAGAAATCAATGGTAAATTATTTGAACTTGAAATGACTTCTACAGGACACTATACACTCCCACTGATTAAGAGTTTCACATTCTGCTCTGAAGCATGCGTTATCAATACTGTTGATTCATGTAACATGTCCCCACCAGAAGATACTAAGAAGAAGGCCCTTAAACTACACAGGAGATTTGCCCATGCTAGAAGTGAGAGAATCATAAACTTGTTGGATCATGCTGGTAAAAGAGATACAGCTTTGGAAACTGAACTAAGGCTTCTTGATAAATCGTGTGAATTTTGCTTAAAACATAGGCGCGCTGCCCCAAAACCAGTGGTTTCTTTACCCCTTGCAACTGAATTCAATGAACTTGTCTCAATGGATCTTAAGCTGATTCGAGGTGTTTGGGTTTTACACTGTGTTGATTACCTTACTAGATTTTCAGCAGTACACCCACTCAAATCAAAAACTGCAAAAGAAGTTATGGAAAAGTTCATGTTGATTTGGATCTCCTTTTTTGGACCACCAAAAAAGATACTGAGCGACAACGGAGGTGAGTTTAACAGCCATAGCTGGGATGCTTTCTGTGAGGCATTCAATGTGTTACACAAAACTACAGCTGCTGAAGCTCCATTCTCAAATGGTATTTGTGAGCGTCACAACGCACTAGTAGGAGAAATGACTGAAAAGATCATTGATGATGTTAAATGCTCGATTCATATTGCCTTGATGTGGGCAGTTCATGCAAAAAACTCTTTGATCAACATTTTCGGATTCTCACCATACCAACTCGTATTAGGTCGAAATCCTAATATACCAGGGAACTCTGCCAACAAACTTCCAGCTTTATCAGACCAATCAGCATCTCAACTTGTAGCTGATCATCTTAACAGCCTTCGAATTTCAAGACAGGCATATATTGAAGCAGAGTATTCTAATCGGGTTGCAAGAGCCCTGAGAGGCAAAGTTTTTACCGGAACCCACCAAAGGTTTTGTGTTGGGGACACAGTTTACTACAAACGCCTTGACCAAAAATCATGGCATGGTCCAGGTAAAGTGATCACCCAAGATGGAACTCAGGTTTTGATTAAAACTGGCTCAGGAACACTCATCAAAGTACACCCATGTAAGGTTATCCTTAAAGAAGACGGGGAAACCCAAATTAACTCTAAACCAATGACTCAAACGAAACCAGAAAGTCATGTTAGTAAAAGAAGTAATTTATCAGAATCAGAGAGTGATGATGACGATTCAGAGGAGGAAAGCAATGACCCTGTTGCTACCACACAATACAACAATGAAGCAGCAGACAATTCTACTGTAGGCTCAGAACTTCTAACAGTAGAAGAAAACGACAGAGTAGAGCATATTCCCCAACAAAAACCACAAGTTGTTCGACCTGGTGATAGGATCTATGTCTGCCAAGGATCAAATGTCGACCAAAACAAGTGGAATGCCATGACTGTTGTTAGAAGAGGAGGAAAATCAACCGGAAAGTTCTCTAATTACTGGAACATGGTAGATGTGAGTACTGGGGAAACAAAAGGTGTTGATCTCGATATGATGAATTGGATTAAAGAAGACAAAGCAGGAGCTGAATCACGGTGTTTTTCTGAGCAGATATATTATGAAGTGTATGTGCAGCACAATGAAACCAACTCAGATCTTTATTTAGATGCAAAAAGTGAAGAACTAGAGAAATGGAAGGAATTCAAAGTCTTTGATGAAGTAAGAAGAATGGACTTTCCTGAGGAAGATGTATTGTCCAGTCGTTGGGTCACGGAAACAAAAAACAAAAATGGCAATCAGATCTATAAAGCACGGCTTGTTATCCGCGGCTTTGAAGAACACAATGCACCCCCATCAGACTCACCAACAGCTCAAAAGAGTCTAGCCAGGATGTGTCTTTCTATATGCAACTGGAAGAAATGGGACATCCAATCAATTGATGTGCGAGCAGCGTTTCTTCAGTCAAATGACTTAGAGAGAACAGTGCTAATGAAACCACCCAAGGAATTTAGGGTGAGTGATGACGTAGTATGGAAAATCAAAAAGCCTGTTTATGGACTGAACGATGGAGCTAGACAGTGGTTCATCACAATGAAGACTAAACTAGCAAGTTATGGTTGCAAATCCTTAAAACTTGATCCTTCTGTATATGTTTACCACCATAATAGAGAAATCAGTGGCTTCCTTGTGATTCATGTCGATGATATCCTAGTGGGAGGAAATGCTGATTTTCATCAGAATGTGGTAAAAGCCCTATGCTCTGACTTTCAACTTAGTACAAAGAAGAGCAAAGAGTTTAGATATATAGGTTGGGATATCAGTCAGAAAGAAGACCAAATACAAGTCGACCAAATATCATACCAAGAAGGTATTGTTCCTATCGAGTTAAACTCTGCCCGAAAAACCCAGTCGGATCATGAATTGAATGAACCAGAGAAGAAAAAATATCAACAATTATTAGGGAAACTGCAATGGATTTCGTGTCAATCCAGACCTGATATCCGATTTTTGGTATTGGAATGCAGCCTAATGGCAAGTAAACCCGTTGTCAGTGATGTTATCCAGTTAAACAATGTTGTAAAAAGACTAAAAAAGCACACTCTAAGAGTATCTTTTTCGATCCCACCCTGTAACGTTGAAGATCTCAGGATAGTAGCATTTTCAGATGCTGCATTAAGCAACCTTCCTGACAAAACTTCAAGTACACGGAGCTATATCATCTTTATCAACTGTGGTGATGCATATTCTCCGCTATCATGGTGTAGTAAAAAACTGGAGAGAGTTGCAAAGACCATCATATACGCTGAGGGTATTGCCTTAGGAAAATGCCTGGATGAAGCTGTCAATCTAAGAGAAACTATGATGGATGTCTTAAATCTAAGGAATAACGAAAACAAAGACAATATGTTACCAATCATTGGAGTAACTGATAGCAAATCACTCTGGGATAATATTCAATCATCGTCTTTGGCTGCAGATCTCAAACTAAGACGAGAGGTAGCATCGATAAAAGAACAAATGACCCTTAGAGAAGTTTATGGAATTGTCTGGACACGCACAGAACTACAGCTAGCGGACTGCTTGACCAAAAAGACAGCTTCCCCCGAAACTTTACTGCACGTTCTGAGGACTGGATCTTACAGTTTTGACCTGGAAAGCAATTGCGTTGTGTCATCAGACCTCATTGGTTGTCAAAGCACAAGCAGATAGTGTGTTCATTTATTGTCTAGCCGGCTGAAGTGGTGGGGTTTATTCTTGTGCCATAAGGACTGGACTGTTATGGGCAATGAAATACCTTTATTTCGAATTCTTATTGGTGTCATTACACGAGGACTTGTTGTATTGAGGTGGGAAGAGTGATTAAGGCTATCTGAGGATGAGGTGTACCTGGTATGACATCAGTTTTCCTATGAGATATAGTTGTTTATTGCTCTGAATATTCTGGTGTTTGGGCATATGTTTTAACCCCTTCCGATTTCACGTCTGTGTGAGCTATATTAATTTACCGTTTCTCCTTATCATTTTATACTTTTATACTTGAGTGTGCATGTCAGTTATATTTCACTTGATCTTATAACTTAAGATATTTGCCAGATGTTATGGGCTGGTTTTTATATATTTTTAAAGATTTTTAATTTTAACAATCACTAATCCTCTGGGTTAAACTTTTACATCCTTCTTAAATTATTAGTTTGTTTGGCGGGAGATTGTTATATCATTATTTATAACAATGCTCTTATTTAGGACAGGATGTCAAGTTTCGTTTCCACCTAGTGGTGAGTTTGTATGTTTTTTTTTTTGTATGTTTTAGAGTACTATTATTATTATTAGCCGTTTTATAAATCCCGTTTTATGATGTATTCTTGACTATTGAGCAATGAATATTGGATTATGTATTTCTAATACGTTTTCTATTTCAGACTGTTATAACTGTCATTTGGTCGTTTTATTGCATTAAACACTTTTTGCTTTAATATAATTACATGTCACACAATGGATTAGTTGAATGAAACGTGTGCTACAAATGTCTACGCCTCACGCAGAACTGCGTACCGCTTAGTACTTCTAAGCGGTACTGCTGTTCACAGAGGCGCGCACTCAATTTAATCACAAATAACGAGCGCGCGGTTTTTGGAATCTCTCCATTACTATATTAATTAGATCGCAGTGCTCACGGCCTGTACTTAATACTTTCAACACTACTATATAACAAATAATTTGAGTTCAGGGATGGCAAGTAACAATGTACCCGAGAGGGTGTCGATACGAAAAAAACGTGGAGTCAAGACGAGTCCCCCTAAGGATTCATCTTCTGATAATGTCCCAGTGCCAGAGGAAAAATACTGCCAATGTGATGTTTACATGTCAGAAGAACTATCAGTTGAATGTGAAGCTTGCCAATTATTTTGGCACCTGAGTTGTGTTGGTTTATCTGGCCTTAAAAACGAGATGTTACTGAATCTAACAAACTGGAAGTGCCCATACTGTTTTGTGGCGCCTCATACCTCAGCTGACACTAAGGAAAACGGGGCTGTCAGGGCTATTATTAAAGAGGAACTCCAACATTTGACCCCAGCCCTGACTAACTCGATTAAGGAAGCTATTAAAGGAAGCGCAGAGAAAACAGTTGATAAAGCTGTTCGTCTCTATTCTGAGGTAACAGCACAAACCCAGAAGAAGGTTCTCGATGACATGAGTCGTGAACAAGCTTCTGAAACTGTTATTTCGGAAGTGCAAATGAAGATGCACACTGATACATTTGAGCGAAACAAACGAAAACTCAATCTGTGTGTGCTCAAGGTTCCAGAGAGCAAAAAGACTACCTCTAAGCAACGCCAGGAGGACGACTCCAAGTTCTGCAGGGAGACCCTAAAGATTAAGAAGGACGACATGATAAGTTGCCATCGCTCTGGCAAGCTTGATGCTGACAAGCCAGATCACCGTCGCCCGCTCATCATCCAGACACGAGATGAAGAGTCAGTAAATTTCTACGCTGACCATGGTAAGGGCTGGAAAGAGTCAACTTATTGGATCAACTTGGACCTCTGCAAGGCAGACAGAGATCATATTCGTTTTTTAGCCAGAAAGGAGAGGAAGAAGAGGCAGGAGGAAGCGAAGAAAAGAGAGACAGAGAAGACGAAGGAGGAAGCAAAGAAAAGAGAGCCAGAGAAGACAGAGGACAAAGCGGAGGCCGCAGTGCCCAGCCGTTAAATATTTTTTATACCAATGCTAACGGCCTATTTAATAAAATTGATGAACTAAAATGTATTTTATCAATGTATAAATCTATTGAGGTAATTTGTGTAACAGAAACTCATTTTAGTAGTGATATATTAGATGCCGAAATTTATATTGAAGGATCTAGTATGTTTAGAAAAGATAGAGATTTTAGAATTGACAATTCCACTGGCAGTATAAGTGGTGGAGGAGGCTCTATAATTTATGTTAAAAACTGTTGTAATGCTTCACTAGTGAACTCTTTTTTAAAGGCACCGGATTCTTTAGCTGTTAATATCAACACATCAGGTGGACTGATTAGTATTTGTTGTATTTACAGATCCACTTCATTGAATTTAGAACAGAATAATGCGTTAATATCTTGTATCAAGAGCATCTGTAGTGAAAGGAATGATTTTGAAACACTCCTTTTAGGAGATTTTAATTTACCAAATGTTTTATGGGAAACTGGTAGCATAAATAGTAATATTGTTAGGGACACGTTTTTTTTAAGTGTGGTGAGTTGCTGATTTCACCTTTTTCAAAGTAGAGTGCACAAAATGAGGAAAAAGTCGCAATGCTTTTTAAAGTGCAACCATACATTTGTACATAGGATGAAGTGAAAATATTCAGCAGTTGTGATTTGAAAAAACGAAGTGCCACGCTCAAGCAGAATATGACTTATGAGCAATTAAACTGAGTGCCAAAAATCAGCAAACCATTTTAACCTCCAATTACCTAATTCCATTGATTTCGCCATATTTTGCTCAAATATTGTTCACATAACACTAGTAGATTGGAGCAAGTAACTGTTTTCAGCATTTTAGTCATTATTAGCAATTCCAGTAAGTGACAGAATCCAGCAAAAAGTCATTTTTATATCTGAATACGACTGCTCTATTGATGGTTTTTGTCAAAATATTAAAAAGATCAAGGCGTGACTGTGCTATTTTCTGGATAAGATAATGTTTGGTTGTGTCTTTAAACTTATTCTTACATGTCTATGTGCTAGCCATCAGCAAAAAGTCACACATGTATCAGCTTGAAATTTATCTTTTTTTAATTGATGAAATAAGTATCGAAATTTCAGTTCTCTTTTTCAGTCACCTTATTGACTTTTAGATTGAAGGTGCCATTAATCAGTTAAAAGACGGCTTGAACTCTGTACTGCTTACACTCAATTATGTCCCGAGTGCCCAAATTCAGCATATCAGTCATATAGATAAATGATGTAAAAAGACAAAAATTGTCTATTTCTTGATCCATGGGTGTACAAGTGTTAGTTTAAGCATCTATTTCGAAAAGTAATGTGTTCATAAAGGGGTCAAAAACAGATAATAATATTTGAGTGCCACTAATCAGCTGTAGTGACTGCTGCAGCCAGCGTGGGAATTACCAACTATTGTAAGTCAATATCAGCATTATTAATCATCTCAAACCACCAAATTGTTTATGTTGCAGATATGAATCTTAGTTTAGGTATATCCTGAAAATTTAAACAACAAATGTGTCCTGAAAATCAGTAAAAAGTGACTTATTTGACAGAAATAGTCATTCTTACTGCTAAATGGCACTCCTTTTAGTTCAGAATATTGTTTGAGGGAGCGGTGTGCCTTTTTGTTTAATGTGGCACAATTTTGTTGCACTGTGTGCCATTATTCAGCTTAAAATGACTTCTTTTTCTAGGCATATACCAATGGTAAATCACATAAAATTTGTGCTTTGTAAGCAGTGTTGTGATAACCTGCTATAACTAACTTAAAACTGGCACAATGAACTTCAAACATCAATAGTATGTCCCAAATTTCCATGATGAACATGATATTGTTGTCAGAAATCTACTTTATCGTGCCAATAATCAGCAAAAAGTCATTTCTATGAAGATTTTAAGCTAAAAATATTATTTATAAAATGACTTTTTGCTGAATTAGAACACACAATATCGTTAGATTTTGTAAAGAATCATCTTGATGAACCTGCTTATGCTGTCAGACATCAATTGTATAGTGCCAATATTCAGCAAAGAGTCATTTCTTTCGAATTTTTAATCGTGATGAATTTGACCTAAAAATGACTTTTTACTGAAAACTGACACACTCTTAAGTTGATTTTCGAACAGAATGCTGTTGAGCAGACTTAATCTCGACAGTATGATTGAAAAACGTTCTAATTTGTTGCTGTCTAGCTACTGCAATGTAAAAAAACTCAATTGTAATTTTGTGAGTAAATTTTTACTGAATACAGGCACACAATAGGTTTTTCCTAGGTTACATTATTACAGACCAACGTTTCTTGAAAGTTGTTACAGTTCATTCACAAGCTGATCGAAAGTATGGGCCTTGTACAACCCCTTCAACCAAACTAGAAATTTTACCAAACAAATGACTTTTTGGTTATTTTGAGCACAGTTCAAGTATTCCTACCCCAATCCAAATATTCTTTGAATAATTCTGAGACATAATCTGAATTTTGAACAGAAAAGTCGCAAAATTCAGTTTTTTACGGGCGTTTTAAACATTATAGTCCAAAATGCTGAAAACTGGCACTACCTTGGTACTATATTATGACATATTAACTAACTAATGGATTTTCCTTACAGGGGCAGTTAAGATTGAAGGCATTTCTGTGCAACACTTTCTAGTTACTAGTCATTTTACTTTCATTGTCAAAAGTGTCATGGCACTCAAAGTCATTTTCACCACACTTAAAAAAACGTGTCCTTAGCAAGAACCAGTTTTTAGTTACTCAACAGAAATTCATGGATGTTTTCAATGACAGTGGTTTAACTTTCTTTTTTTTTTCTTTTTTTTTTTAAATATGCGACCTACTAAAACCAATGGGGCCCTCCCCGGGGTCATTACTCTCGCATTTGCGGGAGTCGTCCCAAAGGTGTGAAAGTAGGTCAAGATTTGTTCACACCAAGCCCTAGCATCGCTATTTGCTGACAATCTGCCTTCACTGAAGGTATGTTTTTAGAGAGTGGAGGCCGACCGTCAGCTTGGGATGCAGGGCCAAGTGGTCAACAACGTCAAGGCCCCCTTCCACATGGGCCATGTTGGTTTTGGCAGATACTGTGGTAATAAGATATGAAGTGAATGAGTGAAATGAAGTGATTGAAAAGGGTGTAAAAGAGGAAGAGCTTGTAAGGTAGTGGTTTAACTTGGTATTTCACCAACGAGACAACTAGAAGACGGCTTGTGAAGGATACTCTCCAGGAGAGTCTTCTTGATCAGGTCCTGTTATATACAAATGATGCTCTTGTCAACGGTTGTAAGATCGTTTCTCCGCTTGGTAAGAGTGATCATGTTGGGATACTTGTCGAACTAGTTGTTTCGCCGGATACTAGCAAATGTTTAAAAGAGAAGATTATCAAACCTATATGGGGTAAGATTTCCTCTGAAGAGTTACTAAATTTTAGTTTGAAAAATATCGACTGGGATTATAGTTCTACCAATGATGTTCAAGATATGTGGGCTGAATTACATGGTAAACTGGAGACTGTTGCTGCAGCTGTTCCGACTGCTTCGGTTTATCTTGACAACAGACCTGTCAAGTTGCCATGGAGTACATCTGCACTTAAACGAATGAGAAAGAATAAAGATAAAGCATGGGCTGAGTTTGATATTAATCCATCTGATGTTAATTTTAGTTATGCAAGTAGCAAACAACATACTTATGAAGTAGCAGAAATTAAAGCTAAAGTTAATTATGAAAAGAAAATTACATCTAATCTAAAGCAGAATTGTAAGTCTTTTTACTCTTATTTACGAAATAAACGTCAAATTAAATCAAGTGTGGTTTCTTTAGATAGAGGAGATGGTACGCGCACAGATAGTTCAACTGAGTCAGCTGAGGTACTCGCAAGTGCCTTTAGCTCTGTTTTTGTGCGTGAACCACCTGGCCCTCTCCCTAAAACTGAGAATTTAAGACCTGACAATGAGAGTATTGATGATATTGATGATATGGAAGTCAGCAGTTCTGATATAAAAAAGCAACTTTTAAAGCTT